GTAGGGACACTGTGCTCAACTTGTCCTGCGACGGCTAACTAGTTTAGGTCAGTCACTTCTCCATATATTGATAACCTATCAAATATATCTTCGAAACTTCTCGCTTCTGACTTTTGATCTCACCGAGTGGGCACAATTCAGTTACAGGTGTTGTCAAACTCTAAATACTCGTGGAATCTTCGAATGCTTATCATAGTCACAGACATTTCCAAACTTTTTGCAGAGAGGGATTGAAACACGTAGATATTTCTCAACTAAATTATAGCAGAAAGCGGAATGACCATGTATTAGGCGACCTATATCCTAGACAATAGTTTATGTGTTCAAATGTCTTCTCTTTCCGATCCTTCTTGGTTTAACTGTTCCTGTCGTCATCACAGGGTAACGTTCAACGTTAAGTTGATCTGTGTCTGACCCACAGGTGCATCGTTGGTTGAGAAAGTGTAAAGAGTCGACTGTATGATAGGGTCTGAGAGAGAAATGAAAAAAGTCAAGTTGAGCAGGTGGTTCAACATATAGAATACGCCTACATTTGATGGTGAGAGCAGCGAAAAATAACTGACAATAACAGACGTGAAATTAAATCATTCTGAAGACAATTATCATACACTGCTTTTCAAACACCCCAGTATTCAACGTAGATTGTATGACAGGCACAAACCCGTTTAAAGCCGAGCTCAACGCTTGTCCTTGAGCGACCTGTCACATGACCTTGTGACGTGAAATATATACTTCTGCCCCACTGTTTGGTCACTGGAACTATTCGGTACAGCAAAATAAAAAAGCCGTAAGATAATTTTCCAAAGTTTGCTACTTCCTGGTTAAGTACAGAGTTCAACCTATTAACTGCAAAAAGGCACGGAATGTTACATATTGCGTTGACTCAATCGGAAGAAGCGAAAAATCGACATTTCCCCTTTATTTACGCTTTCGTTCCCTTTATTTCCCCTTTGTTGGTTGATTGTTAACAATTATCATTGTTTAACATTTCCATTAGTAATATATAAAAGATTGTCTACAAGGATATGATGCATGGAGAATGAATTGTTTCGTAGAAAGGGAGGTATAAAGTAATTTTAATCTCACGGTTTAAAGGAACACAAAGAGTGTATACGTGTATACACTCTTTGTAGGTGGTGTGCGTGCACCTACGCAATTGTGATCAATTTTGAGCTATGTCACCCAGTCTCCAACAATTGGTTATTATAGTCACACAGACTCCGACCAAGTAGTCTTCATCTACTAGCATGGCTTAAACCAAAAGTTAGTAACTTTTGAATTGATGCCACGTTTTAGTATGATCTGATCTAACTTTCTTCTATCTATCTCTAACACTAGTTAGTATTGCGCGCCGTGGTAATCGGTGGTTGGGCATGCGGCCCAACGATGTCAGTCTATGAAGATTCACAACTTCATCAACTAACTTACCATCATTTTCCAATACTCTGCGTTTAACCTTACTGGTACTTACCCGGTGTTCCCAGCAAATGCGAGCAATATTTCTAAAACATCTGTATTCAAATACTAGTAACTTACGAGTATTTTTTTCCCTTAATGACTACGTTTCCTAGCCGTAAAGTAAAACAGAATGAACTGTTGCACAATATACTCGTTTCTTAACTGATAGCCGGGCATCCCGCCTTTGTCATAGGTGACGTAAGTTAGCAAAAGCTAAACGAACTTTTTGGATTGGTACAGAGATTTCGTCAGACACCAAATCAATCAGTGTTTCCTGTTCAAGGTAGGTCACACTTTTGAACCGTGAACATGGAACCAGTAATTGTTCTGATTTGTAGGATTCATATCGTTTCCAATAATTGCCGACAATTTCGTCACCTTATTCTTACCAAATAACTGTTGCAATTTATGGACTGATCACGGAATTTTCGATCTTGTAGTGTAGCTTCTTATGTGCCTGGTTCTTCAAGAATATGTAATGGAGATCTAAAAGAAGTAATCCACACCTCAAGTATTCTTAACCTCAACACCCATGAATGAGCTTGTTGTATATACGGTCAGTTTAATGATATGGTTCAATGGATCCCTGATAACTTTCAAGATTTTATTACAGTTTGCATTATAAGTGTGAAACTTTTGGGCATAAAAATAAATGTTAATATGAATTTCTCGTTTACAATACTGCTAGATGTGGACGGTATCGTTGATGTGAAGACTTTTACTTTGGGAGAACTGACTTAAAATCGTGTACTCAATATATACTTATTTTTATACCGGTGAGAAATTGCCAGTCAACATGTTAAGAACACGAAAATTAACTGGAATGCATCCAGCCTCATACTCTTCCAAGGTGTACACGTTGTTACCATGTTTTGTTTTTGCTATTCTGACGGCCGTTCTGCACTACATATAGTTACCAATTTACATCAGGTTTTCTTGACATCAGAACTGCCTTAGATTCTTTAGACAGGATTATTCTCTGGGATTTTCTGTCGAAGAAGGGCATGCCTCGGAAGTCTATTAACATTTTAAAAGCCCTACATACAAACACCTCAGGGAAAGTGAGAGCACACGACCACTTCTCTCCATGCAATTGCGTTAGGCAGGGCTGCCCGGTTTAACCATTCCTCTTCAACTTTGCCATCAATGACGCTTTGGCAATGACTGTAATGGATATTAGTAGTGGTGGTGTGGATCTGTTGCCTGAATAAAGACTTTGACCTTGAGTGTGCGGATGATATTGTTTTACTGTGCGAGGGTTCCGAAGCTATGCAATCCTCACTTAATCAGTTGGCAATCAGTGTCTGTAGACAAGGCATGTAATTTGCACCTTCTAAGCCCAAAGCATTATCACAAGACTGGGAGGACCCTGTGTCTGCCCGCACTTTTGGTAGTGAGCATTCGGAACTAGTCAAGTTCACGTATCTGATTCTATGCGTAAGTGCTGGTGGTGGTGTGAGTAATGAGATAAATTCACCTATAATGAAAGCCAGAACGGCTTATGCCAATCTGGTCCATCTCTGGCTCCGTGGTTAATCTGCCTTTAAAAGGTCAGATCTACAACGCGTCAGTGAGTTTTTTTGCTGTGTGCTTGTAAAACCTGGCCTCTCGGAGTTGAGGGTGTTAGACAACTGTCTATGTTTGATCATCGTTTTCCCCAAAGGATTGCTGACATTCAGTAGGAACATCACAGTAGTGTGGAGGCTCAGCAGTGTGTATCTGGGCACAGTGACGATAGTTTACTTGATGCCATCATCTTGGGATACCGACTTTGGTGGCTTGGAAATGTTATAAGAATGTCGTCACAGCAAATTGTACACCATTCATTATTTGCCGATGCTGGGGGTGGTCAGAATAGGTGGAGAGGTCAGTACACGACATAGTGTCGTGGTATGAAAAAAGGCTGTACAGGACTGGTTTTTGTTGGTCCTTCACCGCTCCCTGGTTGGAGTCCTAGAGGTAGCCCAATGCATTGGCTTGAGATGTTATTAAATGTGGCTCAGAATAGAAGCCAGTGAAAATCCTACAGTAGCTTTCTTTTACTTTTTCTATAAAAGTGAGAGTACCTTTTTAACTGAAGGAATTTCTTCTGGTTGTCTTTTCCCTAATTGAACTACTTATTATTATTATTATTATTATTATTATTATTATTATTATTATTATTATTATTATTATAGTAAGGGGAGATACTTAGAACTTTAGGATCCTACAACAACTCATACTAAAGTCTTATCGATGTGAGATAGGTTTGAGTTATTTGCCAGGTTGCCGCTGCGAATGAGACTGGGAAACTAAGAACTGTCCTATTTTATTGGTCTCTAAAAGCCAACGGAATAGATTTCAGAAGAAAAAATTACCCCACTAACTGTTTGAATATATATTATGATATGTTTATGTACATAATATAGAACCAAAATAGCGTGACTATGAACTTCTTGTCAATTAGCACACAAAGGATCTAAAATAGAGATGAGTGTCAAAACAACCAGTGGTCATTCACTTCAACTCGTCATAATAAGGACTTCTCAAATAAGCTTTTCAAATACATGAAGCTCATGAGATGACATGAACTAGCTTCTTAAATCAGTCGAGGAAGTTAATGGTAGAACTCAACCATCCAAAGTTTCATTTCCAGTTAGTATAGGGGAGTTCTTGTAAAGATAACACGAGCCTTGTTGAACCAAAATTTTCAGACACAAAAGTTGACTTTCACAGCAACGCTTGTGACGATGCAGTGGAGTGACGTTTCGCTAAGTCAGCCGTATTCCTAAATTCAGTTACTTCATGCACCACAATCCTTTATGTCTGTTTGGTACTCACTCGCTTCACTCACAGTGGTTTGGAAACCATATTAGTTATGAAATCCAATCACACGAAATTCCTTCACAATTAGGTACCCCACTATTTTGATAACTGTCATTTTTTGCACTTTCGGCTGATCGTATTTTACTACCGTCAGTTATACAAAGATCAACGATGACATTTGTGCAGGTTTCTAGTAATAGGTTCCCTCATGAGGTGAAGGCGAATTTAATTGTCAAGATATACTTCCGTCCGAATGTATGATGTTTTTTATTGGTAGTATTGACCACTGTTTCTCCATGCAACGTGATCTGCTGAAAAAAGACGTGATTTTTCTTCAATATAACGTCTCAATATATTTTAAACAATTATTTATGGTTTAGGCCTTCTAGAATACATTTGTCAGAGCGTTTGATCTTAGTGCGAATCGATTTTTTTGATATAAATAGTGTACTGTGTTGGTTTATAATTATTTCCGTTATAATTGGTACACTTCGAAAATTCTTAAATTTTAGGATTTTGATTTTCCTGTTTCAATTTGAGAGCTGCAAACTTATTGTGCTATATTGACGTGCATTTTCTGAGTCCAGTTCGAACAAATGTGGCTGGGATTCTTAAGCTTCAGCTTATCCTAGTCCTCCATCTGTTCTATCCCGTAAATTGGTTAATTTTTGTCAGGAGATAGTATTGTTCATTTAATGACCTGATACGTAATAGCAACACTATCTGGGCTTGAATACATGAACAGGACATCTATCTTCGTGGCATCGTCTGTTTTTGTGGCGTCTGCGTTCACTCTGTTTTGTTTCTCGAGACTGTTTCAAAGACCACATGTTAAGAAAGTCTCATTCAAGCCATCAGTGCCTCGTTTCTTAGTAGGCGACACGTCACTCCCTAAAGTCATTGAATTCGACAAGGAGAACCTAACACTTGATTTCTGTACGTCCATCTGTACACTGATCAATATATCTGATTATGACACAAGACAGAAGCTTATCATCAGTCTTCATCAAGCTTCATCATTTCGTCGGAATTTTGTAATTAATTTATTTCATCATTAACCATTTGGCTTCAGGATGTCATTAGGGACTCCAAGTGCCTAGAACTTCTTCTATCTCTCCTAGATTCTACCTCAGGGACGTTACCAGAACGCCAGCAAAACTTAAACATTCTTCACGTCGTTATGAACCTGGCGTGCGATCAACAAAATTTTCCAATCATAAAGGTATGAGGTTTCCATTCAAATAATCTCTTTAGGACCATCTCGATGATATTTTATTAATAGCGAATGCAGTGGAATACAGTGATCAAGCATGCGTTGGTCTTCAGGTCCTGGGTAATATAGCATTAACTCCAGATGGATGCAAGTTGCTACGTAATAAATGTGGTTATCTCTGTAATATGTTAAAAATGCGAGATCCATACGTTTTACGAAATCTACTAGTAGTTTTTGTGAATCTGTCCTGCGACATAGATTGTTGTGACAAAATTCTTACACAGGTATATCTATAGCTTTCATATATAGCTTCAGGATCCTGAGGAATTTATGAAAACTTTAGAGTACTCATTGTCTTCGAGTGCACCCATATCAGTTTCTCTAAAAATGATCGCTCTTCTCAATAATCTATATTCCCGGATGATAGAGACGCAAGAAACTTCACGAAAATCGTCTGATTTCTCACCCTCTTCGAAGTCTATAGCTAATTCACTTAAGGTATGCTGTAGTCTAGGATCTGTAATATGATTTTAAAGTTTCTGTTCAAATATCCATTCTTTTGCATGTGTATGTTTATTTTTCCATACGTTCCGGTTTCCAGACAATGGTATTGTGAATAAGACGTTATTGTTCTGACTCGTGTAAGAAATTCACTATCATACCACTATCGTTTTTCTGTATGGATTAGATTTTTCATTTCCATATAGGATCATATTGTTCACTATTTAAACTACTGAGTACTGATCGTGTTTTCGGTTTATTTGTATTTTGTACTTTGATCGCTTAATACATGTCGGTAGCTAAGTAGGGTGGATTTAAAAGATTTGACGAACTTCGGTCCCTGATCAATATTGCCCATATACATGGTTCTCGGGATTCTGATATAATGAATAATATATGAATTTATTACAGTTACTGACCATCATGGAAATGTATTCGATGACTTTTCTTTACTGCTCCATGAATTAGAATCATAGGTCAAAGTCATGGTTAGTGGTCTCTTTAAAGGTCTACCTGGTTTGGTGTGGGTACCCGAATAACATATGCATTTTGCTACGGATGTCAGCTGACAGTTGATTTTTTGATAGTTTCTTATAGTACTAGGCACACGACTTCGACTAAATAGATGGGTTCTTTTAGAAGAAATACACTGGTATGCCATCTCAGAATAATACAATACTTATCAGATTTTGTTCAAAGGGACTCGTTCCAACCGATCATACAGGCGATAAAACTGTGACTGTAGTTTTCGGCACTTCTCAGATGATTCGTTCATTATGTTTTTAGTGAGTGTACGTGATATGCCAGAAAAGTTTCTGATACATGGAGAAGACATCTATTCTTCCTACCTGAGTCGCGAATCAGCGTTTTCATATCTAGTTCTTCGTGTTTTGGTTCGATGATGTATATAAAGATAACCGAAGCAGTCCATCTACTCAGTTACGTATATTACTATTGCCAAACCATTTTATTACTCAGATCGCTTCTGAAGCCTCAATTTAAATTTTCGGAAATAGGACTGGGAAACATTTCAAACCCCTTCATAATTCTACTCAAGTTTTTTTCGTGGTACCCAGATACTGGGGCTACTTTAATAACTGTATAAAAGGAATATGATGTTATTAGAAAAATGTATTGATAAGAATAAGTTGGAGAAACAGTGTGACTACTGCCGTATGTATTAGTCCATGATGTACAATTTATTAACTCGTGTAAGTCATCCTTGACCTTGACGATGTTCGATAGACTACTAACTATCAGTGATCTGTCGTTTAACTTAGAAATAGTTCAGCCTGATGGATGATTTGACTAGATCTCAGGGAGGTTTTGCTGGTTCTTCAGAACATTACTTTTAGATGCACATGAATGCTAAAATTAAACGAAGAATGGTGAAATTAGACATCCCTGATGAAGATCACTTTATGTAAGTAATGGTAGTTGGCAGACAAAAGTTTATTGGATATGTAGTTGTCAGTGATTTATGCAGCCGTTCTTTTTTGTTTGGTCGTTAACATTCGGTGGTAGATGAAAAAAAAGATAGATTATAACTGGCAGGTGTAAAATAATCTTTGGGATTGTCAACTACAATTTTTGAAATGGTGTAAATGGTTTTCTCTATCTGGTTTTGACCAACGTCCTTTCTTATGGAATTGGGTCGTTAACCCCATGCTCAGCGCTCCTCTTTTACCCAGGCATCGGATCGGGAGTATCCCTAGAAGGCCTCCAGACGGAGTAACAATTTTCAAAAGCTAGAATGATGATCAGTAGTTCAATAACATTTTAAAATCTTTTCCAATGAGCTATGGGTCAAAATGACTTTTGATTAGTAGAATTACTCTATTGGGAGTCAAATCTGTGACTGACAGGATGCAACCAAACTAACTATCAGTTTGATTAAAGTCAGAACAAATATTGATGCAGAATAGTATGAATTCATTTTATTTCGAGGTTTCTCGTCAGCTGCTTACAACCAATTATGTATTAGAATTTAACATTGAGGTAAGAAATAGTATGAAACAATTGACATAATTGAATGTAGATAATTGAAATGACCAAGGTTATCAATAATAGCTATATATATAAACAAGAACAGGTCAGAGGTTATTTGGTGTCAGAATCAAGGAAACATTAAGGACGGGTGGTGTGATAGTTGAGTGGAGTTCAGAGACATAAGATGAATTGTGTGATAATTTTAGAGGGAATGAAGGATTCACTTGGTATTGCTTTGCTTGTATCTTCCCATTGAGTTTTAAGACTGCAATTGATCAGTATGTTATAGGTATATGTGCATACTGTGCACATGCCTCGATATTGCCTTTATTCACAAGCTTTTATGAGCAAAGATGGATAGTGGCTAGCAGTGGAATCCAGAACGCGCGTTCCGTCTTATTTGGGACTCGTCAGTTGGATGTACCTGCATCTCAAAGTTGATGTTCACTCTGGGACTCGAACCCAGTACCATTCGCTTCAAACACCATCGCGTTATCCACTCAGCTACTGAGTTCGGATAGCCACTTGAAGTATTCATAGAATTAAAAACTGATAAGATGGGTTACTCAATAACTGAATAGAATTTGAAAAGTTCGCATAATTTAAGAAGATCAAGTGAGCGGAAATGTGTGAATGAAAGGGTGGTTTAAGAATTCGGTAATGGGGGAGGAATATAACACAAATTAAATACTTAAAAAAAAATAAATAGATAAAATAACACAAATAACCAAAACTTTAATCTCCGACAGTTTTCCACTCGTTTTTAAGCAGCTACATTTGTCGTTTTTTCATTATAAACGTGTAAACTAGTTGAAGGTTACTAAGTTTAAATGTTTACATGAAAAGCAGATTCTACTGTAATTTACATATCTTCATTCAGTTTACACATGAAGTTTTTGTTGTTCGACTGATTATTGCCAATATATTTTTTCATTGCCGTTTATTTCTTATATATATCCCTTTTGTTTTCCAGAATAATTGCACTCTAGTTAAATCGTGGATTATTTTCTTGAAGTCTTCAATAAAAGACCCGGGTGAACTCGAATTTCATTTGCAAAAACTTTCATCCTCTTTGGTAAAAGTGGAAAATTTCAACATTGAGTTATGATGTCCAGTGATTTTGCCATCATACATTACATTTATCAAATGTTAAGCGAGTTTTTGTACATTTTTATTTTTTCTCAAATAAACTCCATTTCTTTCGATGTTTTATCTTGTATATTTTCTTTTCGTTGCTTTGCTGATGGAAAAAAAATGATGTATCCCAAAACTTTTAGTCATGCTACCGAAAAAGTCTTTGTCGACGCTATTCGGGTTCCTCAACACTTCAGTGTTATCAGAAATCAAAGTTTTTAAGTGTCCTGACCGTAACGAATACTCCATTATGTCTGAGTGGACGCAGACCGACACTTTTCGGAAAGACAGTGTTTCATATTCAAGAAATTATCTGGTCACTTTACCACAACATGACATGCATGAAAATTTACATGTGAACTACACTTCACAACTGCAGTTTTCCTCATTTGGACAGTGTTTTCCTTTTGTCTCACAGAACCATGTGCGTACTGTTTGGGATATTAAGTCTCCTGAAGGTTGTTACCGAGCTGTGTGTATCGAATGTAATCCTCCACTGGCTTCAAATCCTTCAAAGTCTACTGTCGCTAGTACCGCAGAATCAGGTATTTTCATTCAAGTGTGGATAAATGGACGTTTCACGAACTCTATAAAGCTCTCAGCACTTAATGCTCGTCATGGTCGTGTCTATCCTTCGAATAATTCGACATTCCATGGAGCTGGATGGTCAAATGCAAGAGATAAGATTGTTTATTTGGCAGAAGTTTGTAGTAATCCTAGTGAGGTAATAATTTTCATCATTTTTTATGATCATCATATACGTTATCGAAAACGGACAAATATGTTTCATGAGTGTAAATTCCATTTGTCTATTCTTGAAAGCCTACCTATTTATTACTAAGTCGTAACTTCTGGCGTATTAATTATTATTAGTATAAAGTATGTAGTGTTTTTAATTTTTATTAATTGATCTAGTGCGTCTCAATTGAACAGCTTCAAGTAATAATATCTACCTAGTACGGCCGAGGATGGGGAGAGTCTGCTCCCTCTCCAAATGCTCTCATGTGGCCACGCCTATATAACCACTGCCAGGAAAATCTTATTCACTGCCTTCTCATGGCACGGTAGTTGTTTACGAAATCGAGAAGATGAAAAGCAAATATCCGGTGCATAAACCGGGTTGGTGGGTAAGGCGGATTCTCCTGGGAGATTTTTAAAACTCTGATTCAAATTAATGGCACACGTGCGTTTCGCTATCTTGAGGGAATAAATGGCGTACGGGACTGTTGTTGGTGACCGGCTACCGTGGGACCTCATCACTTAATGGTGCTCCACTATCTTGTGGTTTAAACTTCTGGATTAAAGAATTCTCTAGTCAAATCATTTCGGTTTGGGCACCTGGACGGTATTCCAGCCCATACACAAATTCAATAGTTTGCGTGGCGCGTATATATTTTTGTCCCTTTTTGTACCACTGTTTATGTATTTAAATGAATAAATCATAGGTGTTTACATGTTCGTGTACTTAGTTCAATCTATTGCGTAATGTAAATAAAATAAACTTAGCCAAATTTGAAACAATAATAAAGTGATCTGTTAGTAAGTATTATCTTTCTGGACATTTTTTTGCTACTTTTAAATGTAATTACAATATAAAATAAATTTATTTACAAGATCTTACGAATTACAAAGATGGAACAGTTTAATAATAATATGTATCGATTTGATATTGGGTTCTAATCCTCATCAATTGTAGATTTTTTTATTTTACGCTTGATATTCCTCTGTCAGCATGTATGTATTGTTTAATTTCTTACTGCCAGTAGTAACCTTATTCAACAATTGATCATCAGTATGTACTTGTTGAAAAGTATTACTATTGTAGTTGGTGTTCTATGCGTTTCACTAATTCTCTATTTTTTAATCTAAACGCTGCATTAAAAACTAATTAATCTTAGGAAGATTTAATGCTCTTTTTTTCTTTCGAATTTTCCTCTTTTGTTTATTTTATTTTACAAATTTAGGGTAAGTTTATCGATTTATACGATAAAGTTAATTTTCAGTTGTTATCTGTTGTGCATTAGAACTAAGAATTATGGGTTTGTTTGTGATATAGTTCAAACATTTTGGTTTTCATTCAAAGTTGGACTAGAATTCAATTAAAATGTGATGTTTACTTTGCCAGAGAAAGCACTAAGTAAGCTAAACAGAGGCCAATATAATGGAAAAAAAATCATCGTATGTCTTTAGGAAAGCTATGATCTATGAACTATACTCAGCATATGATTTGTTATAACTAAGTATTATTCTGATTATTAATCAATATATAAATGAGTATATTTCCGACTAGACTTGTCGTAGTTGTTTGTACTTCTAGCTGCTTGAGGAATATATTTCTGTCTTCCGAACTTGAACTTTTGTCTCTAGTTAGCGGGGCTGGGACGCGTCGGAATAGCTAGTTCATCTGTCATTGTCACAGAGTCTTCGTTCCATTCTCAGATTAGATGAACTTGTAATCTCTTCAAACATAACACAACCTATCGAAGATCGATGACTTTATACTCATTCGCTTGTTAAACTGTAAGCTACATAATAAATGAAGACTTATCTAAGCCTTGGAAGAGTTGTGTGTCTAATTTAATTAATTATATCTTTGTCTATGGTAAAGAGTATTCAATGTTCAGTGAATGGACGATGAAATCGAAAAAGAGAACTTTATGCCACAAGACTGTTTATTAGGAATTTTTTTAAAATATTGTTTAAAGTGAGTAATCACTGATGGATAATATATCATTTGTCACAGGGCACGTTGTCGGTAAAATATTTTAACGGTTTTATTGAATGATTGGATTTAGTACATAATTTGTGAGAAATAACTTTGTCAAAGTATCGTTAGCTACCTGAAAAATATCTCAGTTTTGTGCTGTGTAGTGTTGTAGCTATTTGGTTAGAACACTCAACTTTTAATCTTTGAGTCACAGATCTTAACTCCGCTCCACTTACTTTTTGTTTGAGCAACCGGATAGTATCACACTACGACTTAAAATCAAACACTAAAATTATCAATGAATTCTGTATTTTGTTGATGCTGTTAACCTCAATATGTTCCCCATCGGATGTACTTAATCTTTTTAAGCAGATAGATGTATGAAAAACTGACATAACGGATGGTTTTAAAATATATTTCGCTTATATTACGATAATACGTCAAAACGATAAGACTAGTCACGTTATATCAGAACCAGGATTCACAACCTAAAAACAATCAAATTAACACTAGATAGTACTTTATTCAAGTAGTCACTCAGTGAGTGCGGGGTAGAAATCAATGAGAGGAAGGGAAACTACATATTTTATTATGAGTGCCTGTTTGCCCACTCTCAGTGACCAATCATATTTCACTTTCACTATCACATATCAAAAACTGAATATATTTTCCCGCATAATAGGGACCTAAAGCATCAAAGTGGAGTTTTGATTGTTCTTATTCAGTTAACAAGTTTTAGAATGTTTGTAATTTTCATTTATGATTTAGTGATTTGTAGCTGAGTGACTTTTTATCATTACAAGTTCTTTAGAATCAATCCTTTTTATGAAAATGTTTAATTAGTAGGTTTAGCAATCTTCTCGTCGTCACCCCGTCGTTTCGATACTAGGTGTGTGCTAACTGTTTTAATACAATAAAAAGTAAACCGAATTTTGAAAGTTTGATCCATTATGGATCAATCATTATTAGCTCAAAGACAGCATTAATACATTCATCAAATATCTGTCAATTTATGTAATTTAATTATTATTCCTAGAATACTACTAATGATCAATCATTGAAAGATGACCCTTCATCGTTTGTATTCCAAGAGGATTGGGGTGAAGGCAATGAAGGATCGCATAAACCGAAGCTTTGTATACTTGATCTTACTACTGAAACTGTTAGTTTTGCTCCAATCGATGAAAATAAGTATAATTTAGCTTGCAGTGAACCGTTATGGAGTCCAGATGATAATGGGATTATATTTGTTGGTTATCCTTCGCAAGCTTATAATCTTGGATTAATTTACTGTATTCAACGTCCATCTCAACTTTATTTTTGGGACATAAGTAAGTTATGATTGATTTGTAAAACAATGAAGTCAGCGATTTTTTCTGTTCATAAATTAATACACAGATGTGTCAAGTTATGCTATTTTTTTTCCGAATTTCGAAGTGAAGATTTATTCGTTGGATAACATTAACCTCACGAATGCCTCTAAAGTAGTAAATAAGTTAAGACCATTCAAACAAGTCAACAAATAAGATATTCTTAATTATTGACTTACGTTGTGATGAATCTCGTAAAAGTTTAATAAGCTTAATTAGAATCTGGTAAAAATCAACAGTTGAATGCTCCAAAGCGTTTATCTATTGATATCACTCTGAAGTGAAAGTAATTTTCAAACTAATTGGTTCCTCGAAAACCACTAGGTTGAACCAAACACGGTTGAAGGAAATATTTTAGCAGCTGATCGTTAATTGGCAAAAATATTTTGTGATCATTGTGGACATTTTCGATAAAGTCCTAACTCAAGATCTAAGTTAGAGGGTGAAGCTTATCCACAACTTTCTTTCATAGTTTTCACCATAGACTGATGTCAGCTAAAAAGTTATTTAAGGTCAGGAAACATTAAGCAGGTGTTTTGCCTTAGTTTCAGGCTTTTCACCATTCACATTTACGACCACTCACAAAACCGAGGCAACGATCTTTAGACCTCTCAGTAAACATGATGCACATATACACTGTATCATAACTCATCGGTCTACGTTCTATTAACTAGCATCAATTCCCAACGTCATCTAACTAGTTACAAATGTCATCGATTAGGCATTATCTCACTTTTTATGTAGTTAATCTCACAGATCATGGCTTCTCATGGGAAAACTCAAGGAAACCCACTTTTCACTTATCATTGAAGCATAGGTCTTAAAATACATCTCTGTTATGAAAACCCTTTTTGATTGATAGTATATCGTATTTATTAAATGTGGAAAAGCCATAAGCAACCAATCGTAGTTTTTCATGGATTTATCTATCTTATTTTTACAAAATAGTATTTACTACATATATTTTTCGGATAATCTTATCACTTCTTCCTTCTTCAAAGAAAAGAATAGTATTGAACCAATCAGTGTGTCCGGTTATTCAGTTCAATGTCCGCGATTTAATCCCAACGGTACTTATTTAATTTGGCTTCAAAACCCTGTTGGTGGACCACATGGCCAGTGTGTTTCATTAGTTGGAACTCAATGGCCAATGAACTGCTTGAAACCCGAGGTTATTATACCAATTATCAATAGTCCATGCAGTGATTATAAGTGTACTATTGATAGGTTTCCAGGTAATAATTTTGTTACTATTTTGTGTGTTACGGAAATTGTTAAATTTGAAATGTCGCATCATGGATTGACTTAGGTTAAACAACAATTGAAGGCAAGAAGCAATGGATAGCTTTTTAGTGCTAGTATGGGACTCGTTAGCAATGGACATTTTTCGATATTACCAGAAATCAAACGCAGTATCTTCAGAATTCTTAATGAACACTGGACCTTCCAACTAATGATCTGGCATCCAGTGGTTTATATTCCAGAGTAAAAATAAATCTAGAGTTGAATGATACAAAGTTGTAATTTCTCATGGTCTTTTTCAGTTTACCAATCATTTGTTCCGATACTAAAGTTTGATGTAGCTGACATTTTATGGCAAGAATTTGCATTGGATTAAAGTGTTACACCATGATCGTAATTTTATAACTTTCGTATGGATCAAACTATTTACTCCATAAATGAATTTGAGTAACAGAGTGACTCATTATTATTATTAATATTCTTTGTAAGCTTAAATTAATTTTAGATTATACCTGTAATTAGCACGATAGCTAATCTATACTTATGAAACATTGTCTGACTGAAAATCAGTGTTCTATTTGATTGACTTGGTTTAAACTCTAAGGTTATATTTGATATTTATTGTCTCATTTGGATTTCGTTAGCTAAGTGTACCTGTATTCCAGTTGCTGTGGTGCTCATACTGTTACTCAAATTTGTCATTCATAATTTAAAACAGCAGATTGCTACTCAATTATCTGTTTACTTAGGCTATGATAAATAGCAACTTAGTCAGTCAGTTCAAGTAGAACTTGGTAGATATGTGCATCGGTTCAAGTTGCTGTACTACATTAGCACAGTAAGGTAAAATGATCAAGACAAATTCCAGATCAGTAGAAATGGTAACAGTATCATTAGTAGTAGAGAAGACTAGGTATCGAAAAAAGAGAACGAAATCTGAGAAAATCTTGTGACTCAAGATGTGAAGGGAGATGAAGAGTGGATTAAATGCTACCATTTTTGTTCAACGATTATTACTTTTTACTAAAAAAGCACTTTCGGGTTGTTTACTTCAGCCAAACTGAATTATTCCTCAATACCATACTGATTAATAGAGAATTCGAGGATGGGAAATTTACCTTATTTTGAAATTATTAGCACTAATTTCAACTTGTAATAAAAAATCTGTAATTTCAGGTTATTTAATGAAACTTTATTTTTAGTATAGGGGGTTTGTAAAGATTATGGAGTTGTGTAGTTTACCTCACTAACTGACCTCCATGCAAAACTTGAAAGTTCTGGTATTGATTCTAAGCTGGGTCGTGAATGGACACTACTGAGGAGTCTCTTACTAAGGCGAAACGGTTATATAGCACCTTCTGGCTTTTCAGTGGTTATTTAACTACCATAAATCTATTTATCTAACAAACTTGAAGCAGCTTGGAGATTTTAGGTGAAAGTTAACCATGGTTAGTCAATATGAGAAGACACGTACATCCAGTTACACTAAATTTAAGAGATTATTTTATATGTAAAATCGATTCCACTTTAACATCACTTTTTAGATGCTGTGTGTTGTCCTTATTCCAGTCTATATCCAGTTCTTAATCGCTTGTCCGCTAATTGAGTCTGTTAGGTATGTAGTGCTTAGTCCAGTGTTAGTACTACTGATCTATTATCTAACATCTAGTTTCCTCCAGCCTTGGATAGGATCTATGAAATCCTCTTTTTTCATTATAATACATTCCTGTACGATTTTAGTCTACAAACTGGTCGGTTAATTATTGTTATAGTAATTGTATCATCAATTCAAATTCTAACACATTGTCCGCCGAACCTCAATGGTTTAAGTTCAGTTTTTCCCCGTAGGATCATGGATATATGTATTACTAAGTTTCGAAATTTAAATAGAATTATTACTGAGTAGCAAGTAGTTTATACTATTAACATTTAAGCTCATATCAACTGGGGGGGGGAATGAAAAAAATCCACTTTGCCATATTGTAAGTTTGATTGACAGAATTCACTTAAGATCGACGGTTATATTAGTATATTACTAGATCAATATTGAATAGTTGAATAGTGTGGCTGATTTGTTCCCTAATGAATTAAGCGATTACATGAGTTTATAGCTCGATAATAATAATGATAGTAATAATAATAGTGTATTTGACTCTGGCTTTATGTTACTTGAATTTTGATCCTTAAAATAGTATACATTTGCTTACATTGATAAATTGTGAATAAGTACAGGATTTAGATATAGGATTTCTTGTTGATTGTTTCAAATTATTCAACATCAACTGTAATAACTTAATGAAATAGTGACTTAGTGATTGAATCAATTGACTACTGAACACTGAATGAACTCACAGTTCTAACTATGGTTTATCTATACTTGGGTTAAATCAACTTGGCAATAGCATCATTTGGTTTCACACACAAAGTAGTTTAGCTGGAAGTCATGTATGTGAACCGAATCTCGTGAGTCTTTTCTATAAATTATTAATTGATAGCTGCATGCTTCATTGTGTTCTTTACTTATCTTTATGTGCTATGGAGTATGGTATTGTTATTTGGTGAACGATTTTCAGTTGTTAGAATGAAAGATCAATAGACAATACATTTGAGTGGATGGTTGTTCAGATAACTGAATTCTTGTATTATTCCATCGTATTATATTTTTAGGACTGTATTGTAAATTAGCAGACCGTTGTTGGTCTAGTGATGGACAATATGTATTAGTCTCATCATGTTGGGGATTCGAGGTTGTTGGACTTCTTATTTCAGTGACTGAATCTATTGCCCAATCAAGACCAGTTATATATAAACTGCCTAAGTTGCATTTAACATCAGATGGAACTACGTTGTCATCATTATCAATTTTAGATGTTTACGATGATATTCTAGTGGCCTCTGTCAGTTCACCAATTCATCCACAGCATATAGCTGTATTAAATTTAAAGTATCTGAATCATGCTAATTTATCTTCTGATCTTAATCAGCGTCCGTAAGTGCTATATACTCTGATTTGTTGTATGTATGTACTGATAGTTTCAAATTACTGCTTTAAATCTTACAGTGAGGTTATGAATCTTTATTAACTGAGGTGCTAAGAATATGTACAACATTCTTAACCACCGCTTACCTCGACAGACAATATTTGCTAGTATCGAAGTAGGCTGGAAGAATTCTGTGGGAGCTTAAACCAAGATATATTATTCCATGAAATCATTGACTGTTAATTGATGCAGATCATCTATTGAGGTCTGCAAAATCATCTTAACCAATCGTTGGAGACATGGCTCAAATGCATTCACTCTCTCTCGACCTTGAATTTTAGTGTACCTTTATACATACCTTTTAATTCGGTCTTTTCAAAATGCGGACCCAATATTCAGTCTTTCTCACTGTCGATGCTACTACATTATTTCAGTTCGTTTGCTATTGATCTTGTTAATTTCATCTCGTCCTGGTAATGTGATTTAACAACTCCGGTTAACATATATTTGTTTTAGGGTCTTAGTTAATTGTGAATGGTTTAGAATGGTGATATAATTTTGCGTCAAGTGTCAATTAATATGACCATGTCAATTGAGTTATTATAGATCTGTTGTTTTATACATGTGATTGTGTCTCACAGAGATAAACTGGTTTGAACTGTTGGTCACTCATCTAAATTTAACATTAGGATCATGTCATCTTAGTAGTTATATGATATATATACGACTTACAGTTTACTATGTGAATTTATTTATTATCATTGAATAAAGTATATCTACACTAGTTTTCTCTCTTTAATCCAAATACATTAAAAGTTATAGCGTTACAATTCAATAGCTTAGATATTTAACATTTGTGTTCCGGCTGATCGTCCGTTGAGTCAGCTTTTAGGTTTTATTTTATTTTAGAATGTGTTTTAATTGCTGTATATAGTTGTGAATTGGATAACAGAGGTAGGAAAACGAAAACGGGTTGATGAGGATTTATTTGTTATTTTAAAATAAGTTAAATTAATACCTGAGTACACTAATTTTTACATAATTTATTTACAGTTAGATTTGTATAGATTGATATGATAAACTTTTCAACTCCGTATTGAATGTCATTGTACGGATTATTCATTCGCATTACATATATCATTTGAGACCTTGTCTCTTAGTAATAGAACATCCCAGGTTTCCAACGGGGGTCTAACATTAATCGGTTCATGATCCCAATTTAAAAGTTGATAATCTCCACAACCCCCTGTACTGATAATTATATATACATTAGTAAATTAACAAAAATGGTCATTTTGAAAACACTGAACTTAAATTTTAGCCACTTTTTTTTAAAAAAAAAAGAAAATTAACAATTCACATGTATGATGCATTTATAACCAATTCATTTGTATATCTTACTAAAATTTTCATTACCTAGATGGTTAATCATTTCTGATGGAATTGATCTAAAACAAAATCATTTACGTTCATTGAAAGGTATTGACTGGTCAATTCATCAAATAGAACTGGAAAATAAATCAGATAATCAAATAAATTCATTTGAATGTTTACTAGTTCATCCCATACTTCAAGATGATGGTTCAATTCAACAAATAGATGGTAAGATTTATTAACTTAATTATGATTATTTTTGACAGTATGAAATAGTTTTTATATATTAACTCCTATTTGTATAGTGTCTATATTATCAAGTATTCTGTCAAAATAAAAGTTATAGAGGAAGTTTATCACTTGAATAACAGTATATAATTGTGTTATACTTGAATGTCAGAGATTAGCAAAAATAAGTTATACCCTGTGGTTTGTGACCAAACAAGCTTTTCAAACTGGACAAAATTTCAAAAAATTGTCACACATAAGAAAAACAGTGATTAGAAAAGAAAGGATTTCTGTTAAAAATAGAAAAAATCGAAATGTATACGTTCAATGGTTCATTGGAGTTAACAAAAACTATGCGTTAAAGCATACAAGTTAATTAGATGTTTAAGCCTAGCTCAATCTACTGAGTGTTATTTAAATAATATTACGTAACACACAAAATAAGCAGATAATGAAGAAACTAAATTAATGTAAACCCACTGCATTTTATTTATTCGAGTTATAATTTGATTGACTCGTTTTACTTATGTTCCTAAAATTTTAAATACGTAGATTGGTCTAACTGTAATGTATAATTCATCATTGATCCGAAGATGAATGAAATTTCACACTGTTTAATGCTATTTTTCAGTATCCGACTTCACATTTGCAAAAGATCTAACAGAAATTGTAGCATGTAGACTTCGTGGTTTAATTGTCATGCCTCATGGTGGTCCACATGCACATTCAAGTGCTTCTTGGTCTTCGATGATCGCTGGATTTTGTTCGATAGGCTTTGCTTGTTTATTAATTAATTATCGTGGATCACTTGGTTATGGCAATGCGTTTGTCCAAGATTTAATCGGATATATTAGTGAAAAAGATGTGTCCGATTGTGTTCAAGTAAGCGATTTTTCAATTTGTTTCTCTATTTTCACTCTGGAACAGTTTACATAGAATTTGTGAAGTTATTGTCATATTTATTATTCGAAAGACGAACTCTATGTCACATAATCAGTGTTTGAACGACGACAATTTCTCTCTGTGTACAAATTATATCTGAAACAGTCTCTTTGGTTGATATCTAAATGATCCTAACTTTTCGCCCGATTGTCTGCCCCAAGTAGTGTTATCAAATTCAAAACTGTAGCATTTATCGAATTTTCCATCTGCTAATGTTTATTGTTGTTATGTCTGGAGATTTCGCCCTTGTTAATGTTTATCGTCTGATTGCTTTCACTTGACATTCGGAAAGGGCAACGAAAAGTAAGAACATCAAAAACGAGTGAAATGTAGATTAATTGGCTCTACATAAACGCGTCCATAAAAGAGTCCAAAAATCACGTCTATGTGAAATCAAAATATAACCATTTATGCACTAATTTTTGTACACAATAATACCACACAGGGACAAATACATAAAGTTACTGAATATAGTTCACCTGAGCTGTCCACTCCGCCTGTAGCTCTTCTGGGGTTATTGCCGGTTCCAAGCTTGGGTAAATGAGTAGGGTTGAATATGGGGTCAGCAACCCCATCCCGTAGAAAACAACTTTACTAAGAAAAACTTTAACCAGAATAAAAAAGTTAAACAATTTAGACTCTGCTCTGAGAATTGAAGGATCTTTATTCAGAAGAATTATGACACCTCATGATGGAAGCTGAGATTATTCGAAAGTCACGAGGCCGATGCCACTTCTGACAACCAAAGCAACAATTAGTATGAATATACGGAATATCTGGACATTGTGTGTCTCTGGGGAAACCAGTCAAATAGCTGCGCAAACGAGGAGATACAACTTAGCGGGTCTCCGAATCACTGAAACACATTAGGCTCAAGCTGGACAGAAAAGAATAGGTTCAGGAAAGATGCTGTTGTACCCTGATTATGAATAAGAAATTACTTCGCACACAGGAGGTTGCACTGGTACTTTCCAAAGAAGTGCGAAAAGCACTTATGGGATGAGAATCTCATGCATTCAAGATCATCAAAGCATTCTTCAAAACGAAGGAGGGGATTACAGTGAATGTTATCCGGTGCTATGCACCCACCAATGATAACAACGACTACGATAAAGATCAGTTTTACGAGAGGCTGCAATCTACTATAGTTAAGTGCACAGGAAAGAACCTGACCATCCTGATGGCAAACTTAAGCGCCAAAGTCGGAAAGGACAACAGAGGTTATGAAGATATCATGGGACGACATGGACTGACTAAGAGAAACGGACGAGAAAGGCGAGAGACTTGCGAATATATGTGCATTCAACAAAATGGTTATAGGCGACACAATATTCCCCCACAAACACGTGAACAAAGCTACATGGGTCTCACCGGATCACACTACACAGAACCGGATCGATCATATCTGCATCAGTAAAGATTTCACAAGGCCAACAGAAGACGTGAGAACCAAGAGAGAGGCTGACGTAGGTTCGGATTGCCACTTGTTGGTGGCCGAGATGAAACTGAAACTAAAGGAGCACTAGACAATTAGAGAAACTGTATTGCAAAGGTTCAATACAGCCTTTCTTCGAGATACTGACAAACCTAGAAAAATGATGATAGTTCTCAACAACAGATACCAAGCCTTATAAGATCTATTCAAAGAAGAGGAAATTACTATGGAGACCAACTGGAAAGTGGTCGAACAAGCACTAACTTCAGTATTCCAGGAGGTTCTGGGTTTCAAGAAGTATCATCATAAGGAATGAATCTTTATCGAGACCGTGGAGAGGATCCAATTAAGGAAAGACGATAAGACAGCAATTAACAACAGCCAAACGAGAACAGAGAAAGTCAAGGCACAAGCCGAATGCACAGAAACAAAGAAGAGAGAGTACAGGCGTATTATAGCCAGCGAGCAGAAATACGTGGAAGAGGTAGTAACGAAAGCGAAAAGAGCTACAGGATAAGGAAATAACAAACAACTACATGACACAACGAAGAGAAATTTAGTAAACCAGAGAGATCGGTCAAGGACCAAGAAGACAAGTCAATCACTGAGATTTGAGAATGGAGGAAAAGATGGTTAGAACACTTTAAGGTACTCTTGACTAGATCGGCTTCATTGATTTCACCGGTCATTGAAGCAGCATCTACGAACCTTCCAATAGCTGTCACTCCACAAACGATCGTAGGCCTCAACATACACATGGGAAAAAGCAAGAGAACACCAACGCAATCGCACTTGATGGAGAAACTCTGGAAGAGGTGGAAATTTACACTTGTCTGGGTAGCATCATCGATGAATGTGGAGGATCTGATGCAGACGCGAAGGCAAGGATTGGCAAATCAAGTACAGCATTCCTACAGTTGAAGAACATATGGAACTCAAAACAACTGTTGATCAATATCAAAGTTACAATCTTCAATACGAACGTCAAGACAGTTCTACTGTACGGAGTTGACATATTGGAGAACTACCACAACCATGATCGAAAAGGCACAAGTATTTCTAAACAATTGTCTATGCAAAATACTCAATGTCCGTTGATCGGATACCATTAGTAATAGCCTACTGTGAGAGAGAACAAACCAGCTTCCATCCGAAAAGAAAATTAGGAAAAGTCGTTGGAAGTGGATTGGACACACATTCAGGAAATCGTCAAACTGCATCACCAGGCAACCTATGACTTTGAATCCTGAATGGAAACGGTAGTAGGCAGATTATAGAGCACATTGCACCGGGAATCGGAGCCAGACATCGAAAGAATGGATGACTATCGGGAACAGCTGGGAAAGCGGCTTATGCTTCACGGGGGGTAACAGGTGTAAGTAAGTAATTAAGAACTGATACAGGGAATGTATTTGTCAGGCTAAACGAAAGTTCACACTTATCATATTGAACGAAGAAGATATTGACCTTAAAGCGTCACACCTGAATGAAGCTCATGCCTGTCACTATGGTCGAAATTCACAACGAATTGGCCCAAAATATATTGGCCTCAATAATTTTATCTTTTATCCCTCTATATCAGTTATTAATTATTGCGATAAATAAGCAGCATTCATATTGTATGTCTTTAATTACTTTTCTCATTCTACTTTTGCACCTATATACATACCTACTTATATATACCTATCTCTACATAAATGCCTATTTAATAATAATAAATAGTAATGGTTTCTATGATACTATGATATTAACATAATAATACTATAATAATAGTTAGCTTATGTTGAAAAAAAAACTCGCCTGTAAGATGGCAACCTCAACAATAATTGAGAGGGTGGAGATTTTTAGCTCAGGTGGATGATTTTGGTAGAGTTCCCAGTTTAGAGAGTGGAACTCCATCAAAATCAGCAACAATATCTGTTTACTCTGTGCACAGATGTCTGGACACATAAAAATGTATCGAGCAATCCGTGAACAGTTTGCGATTAACCAATGAAATTCGGACAAAAAATTGTATATTGAAAATATAGTTACTTATGAGTAACACAGTTATATTACACAAATCTCACAAGTTGTTCCTGTTTTAATTTGTCTTGTGTAATACATAGTCAACGGTATAAACTTTTTTTTGTCCTGGTGAATTTCATTCTTACTTATGATCTAGTAGTCTATAGTCTTTTTATTTTGTATGAAATATGAATGATATTTCCATACAATTAACGAGAATTTAACCAGAAGTCAATCAACTAAGTTGTATTGTCTTTTGCTATTCATTGATTTCGTTTCCAGTTTTCTGTTTTGGTTCCGAGCCACTCTATCTGCTTATTCTGTTCAGCCTATTATCAGTTGATTCATTATTTTATTAATTAATTGTAATGCTAAAATAATCTATTCACTGTTCTTGTAGTGTAGTCTTTTCATTTATACCTCATATACCTTCTTCTCTTTCTCTTTCTCGCATCCCTCTTTTTAGGCTACTAAATTTGCATTGAATTATTTGCAAAAATCTGGGTCCAACTTGAAAGCAGTTTTATTTGGCGGTTCACATGGCGGCTTCTTAACTTTACATTTAGCCTCACGATATAAAAATTTGTATCATGTAGCTACAGCTCGTAATCCAGTGGCTCATTTAGTCAGTCTTATTGATACATCTGATATACCGGATTGGTGTTATACTGAATCAGGTTTAGCAGATTGGTGTGAATGGCCTCTTGGTCATTTACCGAATGACAATGAATTAATGCGTTTGTCAAATCAATCTCCTTTGAAATATTTAGATAAAACATGGTCTGTACCTTTGTTAATGCTGTTAGGTGGGAAAGATCGTCGTGTACCAAATAGTCAGGTTAGTAGTTTTAAATTGCAAGTTACAATATTTACGAAGTATCCATAACCCAGTGCTTCCAGGCTTTCAATGTTGATCTAGCTAAGATGATTTCATGATTAGAGCTTTGGAAATCCTACAGTTTCCACAAATCCCTCTATACTAATGATGATTATTTTGCTCAATAGTGACCAAATGTAAAACACGACTCCTGGAGCTGTAGTGAAAAGCTTTGACCAGTGAACTTCAACCATATGCAGTATGAGGCAGCTACCCACTAAAGACAATGGAAGATGGTCGCGCATTGTTATGGGTTTGTTCAGGTTAGATATTAGCACCATTAGATGCGCGTTCAGTAGTCTATATGTTAAGCGTTCGCGCTCGAGTCTCAAGGTCCTAGGTTCGAGTCCTGCATGTTAGATCGTGAACGTGCACTAACGAGGAGTCTCGTGCTAGCATTCAGTGCTTCCAGGTTTCCAATTGTCTAGTTTGAATTACTTCGTGATTTAACTTATTAAAGTTTTATAATCTCCACAAATCCTCTTGTGATAAAAAGGGATTGTTTAATAGTTAGCTATTTTAGTGTAAACTTTCATCACTTGTTACGTCGTTATCAAAATGATAGTATAAAAATGGATTTAAATATTGTTCTGTCTCATTACTTACTTGTTTATTTTAATTTTAGGGATTAACATTCTGTCGAAAGTTGAAAGCCTTATGTCCAACTGTACCATGTGAAACACTGCTCTATCCATATGATTCACATCCGTTAGATTCTCCAGCATGTTCATTAGATGTTTTTGTGAATTGCGTCAATTGGTTTTTAAAACACTTGTGAAACTTGTGAAAAAGCATAATTCTGTGCTCTCTTTTTTGTTCATTTTTTCACTTTGAAATAAATAAGTAAATAATTAACTTCATGTTATTTCGTTTTTTGTAAATGTATAATTTTAAAATTATCTTTGTATTCACCTGTCCACACTTATGTATCCCGGTGATGATGTACTTTAGTGCTGGATGTTAATGGGTTTGAATCTTGAGTGAGATGATCTCTAGTTCTTGTAGCAGCACGTAGGTGGTTATCACTTCCTGGTCGCCCACGCCGTGGGAGGACATTTCTTGGGGTCCCTGCAAAGTAAACTCGGTTAGTAGTGGTACTAGCAATCTGAGAGCTGGACTTCAGAACCCAAGAGATGACTACTTAGGGATTTTTAGCAATTATTTTTAAATGAGGTGGCCTTGCCATCGGTGACAGGAATCTGTGGGCTAAAGTGAGGTGTGGTATTTTAACAGTCGACGTCCTGTAACCTCCCTTTCGTTGTGGGAAAATAGCACCGCTTCAGATGCTGTTTTTCAGGCGTTACAGCCCTGTCCAGTCAACAGTACAACTTCGTTCTCGGACCATTAGTTCTTGTGTTTAGTCTTTTCGTTCCTCAATCGACCTGCTTAGGATGGTTGAGCCTAAAGCGAAAGGCCTACCTAACACTGCTTGGTTGGGTCATTAGTATACGCAAGGTTGACCTTCAATTCAACTCAGCAGCTTTAGCCACATTGGCTTGAATGCTATAGGGAACTGTATTTTCCCGAAGACTGGATATGTTTTATTGATGAGCATCAACTAGCATGATATTTATATCGGAGACTTAATGTCAATTACATCCACCCATTCAGCTCATACATTGAGAGGAGTAGAAACTAAAACAATAGTTTACTATTTTCTATTTAAAACCATAACACAGTGAGTAGAATTGAAAGATTTGTCAATAATAATTTCTGTAGTAAGTAAAATGTATTTTAATAGGTTCAGAAGACAATGTCAAAATCTCATTCACCTAGGATCCGCGAGAATTATCGCTCTTACTTAGCGATCCGCACAATATCTCAACCTAGACAACCGTGATGATTAAGTCACTGACATGACCTAGTTCATTAGTCTGAGTCCTGGAAACGTCAGACGATAGCATATGACCTATAGTTACTAAGCATAATTGCATAGCTAAAAATATGATTCCTCACATATACTTCTAATAGATATGAAATTCAACAAAAAGTGTTTTACAGTGACGGCAGAATGAATTGCACTAAGATTATCCAAAAGTCATAGCAATATAAATCAAAGTGTAGAGTAGAAAAACGCGTACTTCTTCCAACAGTCTCAATTACTGATTTATATCTTAGCCATTTATTTCTTAACAATATATCTTTACGTTTACCTGTCTCGACTTATCACCTACTGAAAAATGAGTCGGTGTTTAAAGTGTTTAATACTCTATATGAATAGATTCAGTTGTCAAGTCACAAATTGTACAAAATGCGCCTCGTGTATCCTATTAGTAGCCACAGTCCAATTTTTTCGGCTTTTTTATATAAATGAACGCATCACCTTATATAAAATTCTTAAAATCCTGATTGTCTTATTTTAGTATTAATATGACCAGTATTGACAATTATTTTGGAGAGTTTCTGGACAATGAAGATAATGAACAAGAACAGGATAGTAAACCTGTGAGATATAGATTTGTTTTTATTATTTGCTTATACTTGTTCATATATTTGAGAAACATTCAATAAAGGAATATTTAAATGAAGACATGTTTGTAAATTCCACCATACGGTACTTGGTTCGAAATTCTTGAATATTGATTCATCATAATCTATTATAAGGTGTAATTTATGATTAAAAGAGTCAGTCTAAATGGACAGGTATGGTTGTATTTTCAGAAGTAGCTATCAGAGTGATATTCAGGACAAGAACATTGTTCTATTTACGGCTTGTTATATGAATGTATTTGCATTATTATTTATTATTTAAACGCATAAACATTGGTACAAGGAGGCACCAAATACATATGCGCCACACAAGTCATTCGATTTGTGTGAGGGCTGGGATACTGCCCGAATGCCCAAACCGAAGCACGTGGTTTTCTTAGGGGGGCGCACCCCGAGTCTTTGACTTAAATGTCTAAACCATAAGGCGGTGGAGCAACTTTAGGAGATGTAGTCCCATGGTAGCCGGTGACCAATAATTGGTTCATACGCCATTTGTTCCTTCAGGATCCTGGAACCCATGTACATCATTGGTTTGGAATCAGGGTTTTCTAACTCCCCTATGTGGGTCCTCCATACCCACCAACCCAGTTAAAGCGCCGGACATTCGCTTTTCGTCCTCTTAATTTCGTAAACAACAGTAATGCCGCGAGAAGGCAGTGGTTGTATGCGCGTGGCCATGTAACAGAATTTGGAGCGTGAGAGCTTACTCACCCCGCTCTAAGTCTTACCACAGCATTAGTGGCCGATGCATTTGAATCCTGGTGTAGGATGTTCTTGTCAAAACTCAAACCTAACATTGATCACATTTCAAACTGTACCCACTCAGCTCAAGAATTACTATAGATATCACTTGTTGAACGGTTATATAACATATTGTCACTTGTAAATCTTAGAATCCATATCTAGATTAACTAGTCTCAGTTTACTTGTGAAAGAATCAGTCCTATAAAGATGATAGGGACCCGTGGCTGTGTTGTGTCAACTAGGACGAAATCTATGTCCAGGGTTTTCCGTTGACTATCGCCGACCTTCCAACAAATTAATGAGTTTCATTCTATCAAAATTACAGTGGTGACTTTACTTTGATAATAAGTTTCTAAGTATGTCAGCACAACTAGGTGAGACCCCAGAATTTGGACTCTCATATTGAACTATCAACAGAAAGTGTTGTACTAATGTTTTGTTAAAAATTCATCAGTGTGAATTAATTTTTCCTTTTGCGGATTTAGATGCTTCTTGTAAAATAGTGGCTCAGTGATTCAAGTATTTGGCCTTCAATTGGTAGGGTATAGGGTTCGGATTCTGTTTCACTCATGTTGCTAGTAGCACCCAGGTTGTATCACTATTTTTCTAGATTATATCATGAAGTGACCTTAGACAACTGTTGAAAATCAGGAAACACCACACAGTTTCTTCGTCCTAGTATAGGGCTACTCAGCTGCTTCGGAAGATGGTTGTACAGCACCGTGAACTGATCAAATTTAGAAATTTTAGTCGTTGGTAGTCGAACCAGTGTTCATGGCGAGATTTAAAGGTCCTGGATTCTATCCTTGATAGCGCCCATGAATACTCACTGTTGGGAAATTCAATACTAGGACAAAACAGCTGTCCAATGATTCTTGATTCTCAATGGTTGTCCAACTAAACCAGTTCGTGATGTAAACTGCGAAATTTAACAATTTCTACAAACCCTTTACGCTAATATCATCTTTATTACTTGCGCGAACAGTTTAGCTGAATGCCAATTACCTAGGCCTTTTTTCCAAGATATAAGTTATTCTCTGGATACTTCTTTCCTGTTAGGTGCTTACAAACGTGGACTATTGATTGGTTTTTAACTGTTTGGCCCCTAATCATACAACATTAAATAATAGTCTGTTTGTTATCTGTATAGATTTTAAATTGTAAATTGTTCTTCTTTTTATTTTTTTCTAGCTACAAGACATGCGTTCTGGTGTAATATTTCTAATTGATTGTACGCCGACAATGCTTGGATTGCATGGTTCATTCGATTTAAATAGTAGTAATGCAGTGGATTCATCATCAGTAAAAAATGGATTTGATTTAAGTCTGTTATGTTGTCAAACATTTCAACAGAATAAAGCACTTCATAGTCCTTTTGATATGATCGGACTTGTTTTAATGCGTACAGTAAGCTTTGTTGTTATTAACATTTAGTTGTACTATCTTATTTAATCGAAATGTTTCAATTTTTCTCTTTTCATTGGTTTGTCTCCTTACAAGACAAGGTTTATCTATAATGCTTCTTAATTTTCAATAGTTCACTATCTGACATCACTCCTTAATGAAATTGTTTTGTTTCATATTACCCACCGATGTTGATGTATATAAATTTCAATAAACTATACCTCTTTAAATAAATTTTCAGTTTATTTTATGTTTAAGAAGTGTCTCATCATTGTAAGTAAATAAATAAGCGGCATATAAACTATGTGGTCTTGAGGATTAAGTATGCACCTCGCGATCTTAAGATCTTTGCTCCAATGAATGTTGTGGATTCGTGATTGTGTACCGCCACGGAGTCCCTTAATAGGACGAAACAACTGTTTAGTTCTTTCTGGTTTTTAATTAGATTCAATTTGTAATGTAAAGCTTCGAATCAAAGAATTTCCGCAATTATCTGTAAAAGCAATCATCACGTGTTTACTATTGATTAACCTCAAGAGTTAATTCCAGGAGTTTTAGTGTGAAACTATGAATAATGAAGAATGTAAGATGAACATCACCAATGGTAATGGATGATAGTTAGACAAACACGCAAATCGACTGAAGTTGAAATGGTAAAGTGTTAGTCCAAAATTCAAAAACCCATCACAGGTTCTGATGATACTTGACTTTCATTCTTATTATATTCGTTGATGTACACTTCTGATGAGTTCTATATTAGAAAGGAATATCATATGCAAAAAAGTATTGTATGTTACATATTATTGTCTTTTATCTCTCTTTTAAAGAATGAATCATCTGTTGACATGAAGAATATTGTGGTTTTACAGGTTAGTTAAAAGTTCTCCTTAACTAATCTTCCATATTAATTAAATAGTATAATACTAATTTGGATTGGTGACAATCGTTTACATCTTCCTCCATAATGTTTTATTTTCCATATTCTCAATCATAAACATAATCAGTTTGTTTTATCCATAATGCCAACTTCTTGATAAAATGTCAGGATAGTTTTTTTCTCTCTAGAGTCTGTAAACATTTAATTAATTAAATGGAAAACACTCATTGAGATATAAAACAAGAAAGAGTAGTTCAATGAAAGCAGTTTGTTTTTTTCCCAAAATGATAATTAGTAATATGTTAATGGCAATGTGATAATGACAAAAAAATAAACAAATTAATACGAAAATTTGTATTCCTATTGAGAAGCTGGATGGGGGTTGTAGCTGTTAGGAATTGAGATGTTCGTCAAGAATCTTACGGAAATGAGATAAATCCTCGAAAAGTTTTAGCAGGCGTATGTTGTCATACTTCTCGTGTATCCCGGCTCAGTGGTCTCACTTGATACTGTAGGTTTTGGGCCTGATTCCCGGTTATGGGGAATCCCATATGACTTCATAGCTTTTAGGTTTCCAATTATTATCAAACTTACATTGATTCGTGATTTCAATAAAATTCATTAATCTCCCCAAACCCATACTGATATCTCTCCTCATTGTTTAAATCATTTGGATTAACAATACACTGCATTCTTTGTGTTAAAATGATGTTCGAATAAACATAAATTATCGAAATCGTTACCGACTGTAGTTAACCATTTCGAACTAGTTATGAGTAATTTGACTCTATTTCATAACAATCCAAAATTATAGTCACATCTGATCAGATGGCAATTTGTGAGATAGATTAGTATAATAAATGTTTTTGGGCTTTTGGATAGATCCTTAGAATCCTGTTGAGTGTTAACTAATATAATATATGACTTTGAATGCTCTTAGTGAGTAATTACTGTCTAATAAAAGCTTTGCATCGTATGAGATGAAGTTGTGAGAAGGTTGATAGTATCGGACCACACAATGTCAAAATTTCATGAGGTCACTGATGTCAGTCGTGTTGGTTCATGTATTCGCAGTATCCATAATCTGTAGTTGGTATTTTTAGATGACATCTCTTCAAATCTGTCACAAGGATGTTGATGTAGTCACTTCATTATTTACCTTTTTTTCTGAGTCTCAATAATGCTTTTCATAATTCCGGTTTTTCGATTTCATTGTGTCTTTTCCAAACTATATTCTAGTATTTTTGTATATTGGTTGTAATTATTATTGATTTGACTTTTTCGATTACCATTTTGTCCAATTTCTCATCTCTCCGTTAATATTGAAATATAATAATATAGACCAGTGTTCATGTGTTCCAACTTCGACGGTGTTTACGATTGATTAACTGATTAAGCAAACTTCACATCATCGAGATATAAAGTAATGCTTTAACACTGGTTTAAACTATTTTTAAATCTCTATAAGGACTAAATTAGATAAATAATTTATTTCCATTTCATTTAATGTATATACAGCAATCATTATCAACCGAACAGTATAATTGATGCTTGACAACTTTATGATAATATTATTAACTACTGAAAGCTACAATATAATATAACTAAGTATCATAACTCAGTGATACAGAGTTCTTCAACTTCCATCATGCTATGTTACTTAAAAATGTACCGCTTTTCATTGGCAAATTAAATTCAGCTTTCCAGTGAACATAAACTACTAGAGTATTCACAAATCAACTGTTTTTTTTAGTAGCTTAAGTTTTTGTTGGGTTTGTGTTGAAGATATTCGTGAATCAAAAAGTAATCACATTAGACATCAAAGTAATCATACTATATATATATATATATATATATATATATATATATATATATATATATATATATATATATACCGAAAATAGTAACACTGCATTTACACATTGTTATCACCCCTGTCCTGGATAATTTAAAGCACTCCAAAAGATATACCAGATATCAGATGTCATATACATCGTGCAAATGTATTTTCATTTGTTAAATAAAGAGTGAAATATCAGAAAATTTGAGAAAAAACGCACATTCTTTATGTGTTAATAATTGTTTGTTATAGTTTGAAAATATCTACGATTTAGGTTGAATTTTTGACTTGGCAAAAACCAATACTTGTGCTTTCGTTTCTATTATTGATCGAATATATATATATATATATATATATATATATATATATATATATATATATATATATATATATATATATATATAATTGAATACTTGTCTTAATTCAAGCAGTTTTTTCGATCTGTACTTTCTAAAAAACATCATTCTGTAGCTTAAGTTGTTGTCGGATTTGTGTAACTTCAGTATTATTCTACTGAAATTAGCATTTATTTAAAGAGCTTACTGGTTATAACTAGAGATTATGTCATTAGATTGAATATTTGAACTTTCCATCGGGTTCAGCTAACTGGATAAGCATCACATGTATTCTGTAATATATACAAAGTTGGTTTTTATTGACTTTTAGTCTCAGTCAACTAAATTAGTGATCAGAAAGTCGGTGGTGGATTGGTCAAATTGTACGCCGAACGTAATAAGCTTCACAGGAAAAGTAGAATTAGTAAATTTACATCATGATGGTTATATTGAAGAGTGTGAAGAGAAACATTACGAAATGAAAAATATTTTCTGCATTAATAAACGTACACATCCTTAGTTTCTTGGTGATTAATAGGGTTTACTGCGCAGCAGTTCGTTCTGTCCTGCTTTGTGGCAGCGAAACATCGCCGGTAAGAGTAGAGGATATTCATCGGTTACTAGTATTTGATCATAGGTGTCTTCGAAACATTGCTCGTATATCCTGGGATCACTGAGTAAGTAACTCAGTTGTTAGGAAACGGGTACTAGGTAAGGATGGAAAATCAATTGATGAAGTAGTAAAACTTCATTAGCTGAGATGGCTGGGACATGTGTTACGTATGCCCGACCACATACTGCTCCGACGTGCAATGTTTTGTGGTGTAGGAGTAGGTTGGAAGAAAGCTAGGGGCGGCCAGTCCGAAACATGGCACAAATCCATGAAGTCACTGACAAGTGGACTGAGTCATGTTGGTAGGTGTAGACTCCCTGGTTGGGATCCACGAGACGATAGCAACCGATGGTTAGAGACCTTGAATGACATGGCTCAAAATCGTTTACAATGGCGCAGGTGCATCCACTCTTTGTGTTCTCTCAAATTCTAATCTTCTGAATTCTTCATGTTCCTTTTTTTTCTTTCCAAATTTATACTCCTTGAATAACATGTTCAAACCCTAATTTTTCCGATTACTGCTTATACTTTTACTACCTCTACCACTGTTGGATTTGAATCGACAATTGCATTTGTGTGCTAATGTGGTATGGCAACTCGAACTGATGTACGTACGTACGAAGTTCTATGTTGTTGCTGACTGCCTGGTGGTTATGTTGTAATCTGATAGAGCATTGTTTAGTTGTGTTGGCATATTTCGGTCATTATCGTTCCAGTTACAATTATTTCGTTTCTGTCATTATTTAATTCTGGGTAACTATTATCAATTATGAGCAAGCGTGAACGTTGTCCTAGATAGAAGCTGTTAGGAAATTTTGATCCAGGATGTTCAGTATGGTGTGAAACTTCTTCATAAAGTTAGATAAAAACATGATTATTTTCTATGTAGTTCATCAAACGATTTTAATAATTCAATATATTCAGTTTGTTTTCTAAGTACGTGTTGCGCAATACCTTGTAGTGTGACAAGACATCTGTATCATTTGAGAGTCACCAATCATTTCAGTAAAAGAACTTATTCCTGATGAGTTTTTAGACACTAGACTTTAACTAAGAGGAAGGCTGAAAACAATGTACTCATTACAACTACGTATAGATTCTAAACGAATTCCAAATATTTCACGTAGATTGCATAACTAGTTCAGTTGATAAGCCTCACTATTATCGTTTGATTAATTTCATATCTGTTTCATTGTTTAAAAAGTATAAAGATCTGTTTTACGTATTGGGCTTAACAAACCTTGGTACCATATAATGTGAATAACTTTAATAATGTTATCAGAACACTCGACAGTTCTACTACAAAGCATTTTAAGATCAGTTATCCTTATTCAATATCTATCACTAAAATATGTTGCAATGAAGCCTACGTTCTTTTGACTATATTGTTGTCTGTATCAGAGTTTGACGTTATATTCAACTTCAGAAGTATAAAGGTAATACATACCTGTCTATCCATATGATAAAATGAGTGCCTAATAGTTAAGATATCCAACTTTCAAACACTATTTCACAAGTTCGAGCTCCGCTCCACATATTTCAGTTCAAGCACTCGGATAGCGCCGCTAGCCTTCACAGAGATAAGTCGAAAAACATGGATCTGTGTCGATTATATACAATTTATTCATATAATGAATTGAACCAAATTGAACATATTCCTTTTTATTTAACTTATATATACATAATTCATTTAGCCTTTAGGTTTGGCTGATTCTACACGTATATTAGAAATTGAAAAGTTGAGACAGTTAAAACCAGATGAATTGGAGAAACGATATGGTACTATTGTAAATCAACCTAATATTACTTTCCCTCTACATGAAGCATTGTGGGTTTGTCAAAATCAATTTATCACCAGGTAAGTTTCGTGGATTATTTTTTCGTTGTCAGTAAGGGGTTCTGGAGATTGTTGAATTTTATTAAAATCCTGATTCGATCTAAGTTAAACCACGATTGAGAACCTAAAAGCATTGAAAAGCCGTTTCATCCCAGTATGGGACTCCTCATCAATGCACTTCTACATTATGGTCATGAACGTTTTGGATTGTTAAATTAATGAGTAGAATGGTGATCAATGAATGTTATGCACAGATACTCTATTAACAAGTGATAGCTATTTACAAGATTTAGTCATTAACGTAAGTTTTTCCCAAACAGACTCAGTTCAAACACGAAACAACTGGTTGCCGGAGTACTTTTCTCTTCCAGTAAAAGTAGCAATGTCGGATGCAAAAATATACATAACTATATTTCATTGAAGTCTGTGAGTTTTGTACATTACTCACTTTTCAATGGAATTAAAGTTCAGCTGTAAAGGTCGATTGTTTTTAAAATTACTGCTGATATCTCTAAGACTCTGCCGTATTTGCTCTACACAATAATGATTAATGTGGCCCAGTGTTTGCATTAAACATATAATAGACTAGCTATGATCAGTACAAACAGTTCAATAGTGTAACATGACTGATACATCACTGACCAGTCGGAGTACTTAATTTAATTATACTGGGTTTATATACCAGTCAAATCATAACATAATAACTGCTCTGTATGTACGAGAATTCGAAATTTTGGACGATAACGAACTTATTTGAAGTTTTATTTCTTCTCAATCTATACTATATCATTTTGGTAGCCGCTGCTTTTACCATTTAGGTGAAAATATTAAGCTAAAATAACTAGCACGGATATCTGTTAATACTGAGATACCACACCAATTTAACATTTAAATTTTGTTTAATAGAACATTTGATTTATCTGTAAACTGTTTGTTGGAATTCTATCTTGAGCGGTTATCCTCTGACAAATTCAATCAGCAATTTACGTTTTAAAGTATCTTTTATCAATCTCCACATTTTTATTCGACTCTACCTATCTTATTACAATATAGCCACTACGTTTAGTGATTTGTTATCATGAGGTGGTTTGTTTGGCGATGCTATGTTGTTGAAAGAAATTTTACAGGAAGCATTCGACCTAGATTTCCGGCTGTTTGGTGTTCAACAAACTGTATCTGTAATCTTGTAGAAACTGTCAGTCTCCCTTATTCTAGGGAAACGAAATGATTATCAGTCCTTGAGTCAGTGTTATTGAGATTTTATTGTTATTTGCCAGTATGCCGGAAGTTTGATCGAGGCTAGGTTTATAGTTTAGATAAAGATCAGTAATCAATTGATTATAATGTGAATCTTCATCGTGTAGGATAACTGGAACACATATCATATGTACCCGACTATCGTCTACTTTGAGACCCTCTATTGACTATCCTAAAAATAGGTTGAAAGAAAGTTAAGAGTTGTTAAAACAAGATATGACATTAGCCCATGAACTGATTGACTGGTGACTATTTATTCGTTATTTATTTTCCCTTAGATTTTAGCTCTCAATACTATTTCTTCGTATGTTCAATTCTTCCATCTTGTCATCCTTTGTACTATTATCTGAACTCCTTTTTTGTCCATCTTGTTAATTTCATCTTACCGTATTTGTGTATGTTGTGGCAATTAAGTTGATGTTTGTTTGTGCCAGTCTCCTACACTAATTAATGGTGACCGTCACAACGTGATAATATATATAGCAACCTTCTTAATTCAATTTTATCCTTTTTTAGTTCAAAGACATTTGGTATCAAACACATCTTTCTGTTAACTGACGATCCTGATCCAGTAAATAAAAATGCAAATTTGAAAGTCAGTGTTATACGCCTTTTGTAATTTTTTGCTTTATTTAGTCATGGTTATTAAATTGTTAACACTGTTATTTGTCATATCAGTGTTTATGTTATGAAAGAAATCGGTTTGTAATAAGGAGAGTTTACGTTACACCTGCTTTGTTCATATCTTTTGAATATCCTAATATCATATTTAGCAATTATTATTTAGTATAAGATATAAAACGTAATAGTCAATACCACTTACATTGACGGGCAATATTGTTTGGTGAAGGAGTGGGTTGAAAGAAAGCTAGGAGCGGCTAAATCAAGAATTGGGACGTGTTTATGATGTTATTAATGATCTGAGTCATGTTAATAGCTGTAAACCACCTGTTTGGGGTCTGGGTGGTTATCGTAACCAGTTGTTTAAGACTTTGTGTGACATGGCTCAGAATCATTCGCAATGGTCTAGATGTATTCACTCTTTGTCTTTCTTCAGAATATAAGTTCTCAAATCTACCTATGCCTTCTAAACTTCTTTACTACTACTGACACTGTAATAACTCTGGGATTTGTCTTGAAGTAATTTTATGTTGCTGTCCTTATTTGGTACGGAAGCTCGAACAGGTGCACATGTGTCGCGTTCTACGTCACATAACTAAATAATTGACTGAGTGGCTTAGGATTTGTTGATGAGTTGAAAGTAAAAACCGTCTTTTTCCGTGAACTTCTTGTTTAAAAGAAATTCTTAGGTGTTTCGTGATATGTGCTGAACTTCACTTAATCGCTCTATTCCGTTATCGATCAATTTTGTTCCACCGATCAGTCGTGATCAAAATTAACATAATCTTTTATTGAAAAGTTCTGCCAACATGTTGACTAGCTTCTTCAAAAGTCGTTATTTGCAAGTCTCAGAGCTACTAATCAAATTATTGGTTTCATCTTATTCTACGTTGTTGAACAGATTGCCAACTGTATAACTCCAATCAAAATTGTAGACCGATTCCCCAAAATGTTCTAAATCTGAGTGTATTCAACTGTGGATAGTTATTTTTCTGTTTGTTAATAATTAGAAAAGGCTTGTAAATATCAGTTTAGTACAAGTTTCAGTTGTGTAAACTAGTTCCACATACTTCTAACCCATAAATAATTTAATGTATTATAATTACGGGGATATTGTTAGGTGTTAAATTTTATTCGGAGGTTGGTATACAACTTTAATTGCTGAGTGAGGTGGGTTGATAGAGATTTTTGTATGATTTTAAATCACCTAACTTAAGTTCAAGAAAGCACTAGAAAACAGGGGATGCTGATTAGTAGCTTTGTCCTGGTAGTGCAGACAGACAGGATTAAACTAACGGCGTTCTGGAATTTTTCAGATTACAGTAGTGTTAAGTCATTGAATATAAACCTCTCAGTCTATATTTTCAAGTTAACCTACTTTTTAATGCATCACAGTAGTCATTTGGTATCATTGATGAGTTACACCTTTCAACCCTCGAAATAATTGACTCTATGTGTCGTCATAACTGACAATCTCGATCACGAACCATATTAAAGTTTGTCACGAGTGAGGATATATATAAATATATATTATTTAATTACGGAGGTTTTTGCATTTTAAACGTAGTTTTCATTTTATCAGACCGCCACAAAAGAGCTGTCCGATACTTTCCTGGTTTTCAATGATATGACGGCCAACATTCATTCGAGCTGAAAAGGATCTTAAGATTTATTTTCATACCACAAAAGATATGGACACTAGACTTATTTTTATGAATTATTCCAACTAACCTGGAATCGATACTTGTGTATGTTTTGGCAAGTGGCTATATCCATTTTCGAACTTTTAGTCCGTATTGATGAGAATAATAGAAACAGTTCTTACACCAATCAGAGTGTTACCTAGTATAATAAAAAAATAATTGAAATACTTTTTCATTTTAAGCAGAAAATTTCTAACTGTTTTTTAGATCAACTTTATGTTCTTTAAGGGGATTAAGCGTTTGCCTTTTTTTAGGAAAATTATTGAGTCTATTTATAGTTGAAGGACTTCTATGACGTTCGATCCATTTTGTAGATTGTATTTGTCACATGCTGAGTTCAGTTTGAGTATCATTCGCAATCATTAACCACACGTTTGACTAAACTATGGTAGTCAGCTTATTATTGACTTATTTCATGATGTCCCTGAAGTTTGAATTGAGTTCAGATGTGTCTAGGATGAAACCATTGTCATCGCTGAAAGATTGTGCGATGTTCGCTTGGAAAATGTTTCACGATGGACACCGATCCAACGATTCTAATTGTTAAAATTTTATCACAACACCTAATGGTCTCTTGATTCATTTCCTGTTTGGATCATCTGCACAGTTTTGAAGTCTTATACTAGAACCTAACAGTTATCCAATGAATTCTGTTTATCAATAGCACCGTAATTCAGATTAATCTATAACTAACAGTATATGAATTCATTTTTGTTTAAAATAAGCCATTTTTCCCATTGGGTCCTCACTAATTTTATTTTTTTCTTCATTGTCGTTGATTAATTATAGCGTAGAGCAATTGCTAAAATGGCCGATATGAAACAATATGGAATTGAACTTGAAGTTATTCCGATTAAACAACAAAATACAAAATTTGATTATGAATTATTTTATGATGTAAGTACAAAAGATAAATTGTCTTCTTTGTACATTTCTTTGTGTCTACTATGCTCCTTATTATCGTTAACATTTAAAACTAAATTTATATAATCATGATAATTTCTCGTATAAATGGATCATTTGATCATCGATATGAACTACACGATGGTTAATGAATGTCGCTTAATTTGATCGATTATGACGTACAGTTCATAATGCTATATGAATTATGTTAGTTTAATAATACAAGTCAATAATCATCCATAAAGTATTGTAGTTGTACTTTAATTTGTATAGTTGTTTTGTAGTTTACGTTCCATGTTAAGTTAGATGACTATTGAAAAAAAAGGAAAGGATCGGGTAGCTATTCCCTTTTAGTATGAAACTCAGTAATGCACATCCATGATTTCGTTAGTTAGTCAAGTGCTCACTAGTGACCATCTTTAAGTTGGAAGTCCTGGAGTTCTAATGAGAATTCTTGATTAATGGAGTTCAAGCATGTTGGATGTAAGGCAGTTACGCATCGCAGGCAATGGAAGATGATCGTCCAATATCAATCAATTGATTAAAGCTACCCATATATACCATTGGCTTTGGGCTCAGTAGTCTAGACGTCCCATACTAGAACGTAACAGCTTTTCAGTGTTTCCAAGTTTTCAATGATTGTTTAGCTAAGATCAGTTCATGATTCAAACTGTGAAAATTTAATGTGGAAAATCGATAGAATTAAAGGATTCCGTTATATTTTAATATTTACTCTTCATATTTACTGAATGAAGTATATTGCTTTATTGGTTTTGCATTCTTGATTATTTATGTCCCAGTGAACTCTACGTGTACTTCTATTAAATTAGTTGATCATATCTTCAAAATATCGGTCGATTGGTTTTTATTCTTCCACTTGATGTCTTTGTATGGCAGTTAATTACTTACACCTGTTACTACTTGTGAGATATAGGCTGCCTACCTGGGGTCCTCATCCAACTATGTTCTGGGCTCTCTTTGTATAGAAGTATAGTACGACATAAAATATACAGATGTATTTCCTAAGCGTTGGGTCACAAATTTGCATGTGTGTTTTTTCGTAAGGATCATCGTTCAGGATTATTTCAAAGAATTAACTGACTGTCTCGATGGAGGTTTGAATCACTTTGTTTAATGACTCAACCATCCTTCATTTATTTGATTATAGACAATAACATGTATGAAATTAACTGTAAATACGATCATACAACTTATTAAGTAAATGATAACACTGTAGACAAAATAATTTTTCATCGTTAAAACATCTTCATTTTAATGAATGATGTAATGGATTTCTGTCGCTATTTTATAATTTAGTTGTCAGGTGATATGTTTAGAAAATATTTGAGAATATGATTTTTTTTTTTCAGTTTTCCAGGTATATTAAAAAAAGAGAAAGAAATCTCCACATTTAACGAGTAATCACACCATGTATAATAATATTTGAGGTAAAGGTATAGTATACTGACGGCCTTGAGTTGACCAATCAGAATTACGATAACTGTGCGCTGAATTTAAGGTGGAGTGATAGATAAGTTGTTATAAACTAAATGAAAATTGACAATAATTGATTCTTAAAATTTGCGGAATCATTAAAAATATTTATTGCTCAAGCAAAATGTGAATTTAAGTTGGTTCTTAACTTAAATGACAAAACATAATTGCTCCTAAGGCAGATAGTGTGTTAAAGTGATCAATGTGATTCAATTAGTCAAGAGTGTTTAGTGGAGCTAGATAGTAATGAAAACCTCAACCCTAATTTGTAAACCCAACTCAAAACTTCAGCCTTACTCTTAATACCTTATCTTAACCTTTTTAAATTATAACCGATATCATGTGCTGATACTAACTCCATGGGGTGTTAACCCTAACCCAGAATACTATCTTGACTTCTAATATGTAAACGTGACCTTTTTCTCTTACTACCAGGAATAATTTGGCATATTAGGGTTGATTACTCAAATCAAAGCTGTTTTTTTACTAGTTTTCATTGTTAGTTGTTTTATAACTATGCAGAGTTTCCTCATTGACTGGTAAGTTTCTCAACTTCGTTAGTGTAGTGTACTATGACCAAACATATTTAATTAAGCAATAAAGATCTCTTGTTATTCATTTATTAATCCAACAATAAATAGAAAGCCATATATTTTAAGTTAGCGTGCAGTTTATTGTATCAACACCTAGTTATATATGATTCAGCATTCCATAAATATAATTTACACTCTAATGCAATATATATATATATATATATATATATATATATATATATATATATATATATATATATATATATATATATATATATATATATATATATATATATATATATGGTATTCGTCACGAATTTGCTTCAGTTAATAGGGAATCACTGATAACCTGGTATTACATCTAATCTAATCTGTTCTAGCAAATTAAACAATTCTCCACATGAAATTATCACTAATTCATATCAATTGCAAGTCTTTAGAAACTTTTGATCGATAGTATATTCATCTAATCTTCATTCAATCATTAAGCTATAGACTCAGCATTGGTTCAATCTTTTCCATTTTGATTGAATAAATAGCCTCTGTTGTCAACGTCCAAGAAATGTTTTTTTTAATGCTTGTTAAAGAAATTCTTCAAAGCTTTTTTTTAGTGTTCCGATAATAATCCCATGTTATGAAGGGTTATATGTACATATAAATTTATAATAATCACATTTACTTGCGTGCTTCTCCAGTTATTATTTCAAAAGTCAGCCAATACTGCTTCCGTAATTATCACCGTTAGCATTAAGTCTCCAATAAAAGCTAACTTCTTTGCAAATTTTGGACCCATTTGACTGGTGAACTTTAAAAAGTAAAAAAATCCAGATCTATAAGGTTTCTTACTAATTGTTTTCAAACACCTATAACATTAGCTTGGTATAGCATGTAAGTTGTATCCTAATCACTCTGTTCTATGATGTATCTATTTTTAAATGTACTTTGCACAAATTGTGAAGTCACTAAGGCTGGTAGCCACATTTTAACTTGATCAATAGAATTCAATTGGCCCTAAGAAGGATTTGAGCTACATGACACTGGTTAGAAATCAATCACTTGTAAATGTATCTTGGTTCTACAGGAGGTTATTCTTTGCATAGACATATCATTGGTAACTTATCTGACTGTGAAGCGGGATGACAGGGGATCAACTCCTCCAAAGAACACCTGTTATTACAAGTATACCTTTCTAATGAGTGTCGAAAAGCACGAAACCTAAGTTCAGGGTTTCTTACTGTTCATCCCCAATCACCACCATATATACTTTTCTATTCATAAACTTGTTGATTCTCTCATGTTTACTTTTTAAAGTTTTACTTTATCAGACTGATCATTTGATATTCAGTTTTACATTTAATTATTTGAATCTTGTTTTATTTGTCCCCCAACATAACTGTGATTGATTTCATACTCTTTCTCTTAATAAGTAGATTTAATAATAAATTTCAACTTCGCACCTAAATATATTTGGATATAGTTGATGAATTGACTAAGTTTTTCCATATATTCTTTTTTATTAGGAGTTACTAGAGGATGAATTAATGTATCCTGATCTAGACAAATCTTATCACCCTGATCCAACTGAACGTCTTGATGAATTATTAAGCCGGTAATTTGATATTTCGATACTTTCAATGACTGTATTATTAATTTGTCTAAACGTTCTTTTAAAAAATGTATTGGAAGAGGTAGTAGGAACATTTGTTTATTATATTCCAGTTTAATACTGATTGGAATTATAAAATCTGTGTGGATTTGGTCATGGATTATCATTGCTTGTTTCTTTTTTTAGGGAGGGAATGATCACCATTGGACCTGACTATACAAGATTTCAATAATTTTCAATATCGAAATAGTTATCTGAGGTGTCTTTTGTTATATTTCAACTATTATCAGTTTATAATGTAGTATTTAGCCTCTAGAACCACTAACAAATAATGTCATCAGTAATCAATATAAGAACTTTATCATAGGTTAGATTTAAGAAAGGTTTCATAAATCTGAACCTGTAAAACAAGTGTAATCTAGTAGTGTAGTTAAAAAAGACTTGGTTGGGAAAGCCAATTTATCATTTGATGCAAAATTGAACAGTCTTTTATAGAATATGAAAACCATACATTAAATACATCATCTACATATCTTCCTTGAGATGTCCTTTACATACTCCATCATTCTTTTGGTTTTGTTGTTATTCCAATTACCCTCTGTTTCCTTCCACTTCTCTTTATTTCAATCTTCTGTTGGTAAGCATCCAACTTTCAATTCCTGCTACATACTACTTATGTCTATCCACATAAGTAGTGCACACCACAGTAGTAAATAAATTATTGACAATGTAGTGAAATAATAGTTCACTAATTATAAACACCCCACTCTCTTTTTAACAATTTGGTTCAAAAATCCTACTTTACTAATTAGTATTTGAATAGTAAATTGCTATCACTTCATAATCATAGCTTAAGATTGGAGTACACAAGAATTCACTTAATTACTGAATAGTGGTATTATATCCTTACTATTTTATGCAACGTTTTGAGGAAGATCAGCTTCTGTTCTTCAGACTGTTGAGTACTAGTAAGCATTCATTATCGGATTCATAGCAAATGATGGACAAGGCAGCGTGCTTACAAAAAATTTGAACAATTTGAATCCCAAACATCCATTTTCATTGAATGGAGTAATGACTAGAAGATTTTTAATCAAGATCAATATCCGTTTAGTAACTTTTAGTATCTAGTGATTGTACAGTTGTTGATATCTATTTTAATCTCGAAATAACTATTAGCGATATCAAGTCGATCCGTTTAGGATACATATATAACAATAGAGACTGATTAATTGCAGTCCTTAACATTAACTACGGGTGATATGATGGAAAGAAAAGTCAAAAATCGATTGATTTGATAATTACGAGCTTTGTTCAATATTATTTCCGCTTTGATTCAATGTGCTGATTACTCAATGTAGTATTCGGTTTTCTTTTCTCGTATGATATTTTATTCCCTATAATATACGATCTTCTTGAATTCAATTGACATGAACTATGCTCAGTATGTGATTTATTATAACTGAGTATTTTTTATATATGTAATTTCATCCTAATTAATAATCAAAGTGTGTATACAATCAATATATAAATGAGTGTATTTTCGACTGGGGTCGTTGTTGTCGTGTTTTGGGGTTAATAAACATCCACTTATACCAGTCTTTGTGTTTTTATTTTCGCGTCGTGTGAATTGCAGAGGTCCCTCGTTTTAAGTAAGAGTTTCTGACATAACAATCAGCGACGATCAGATAAAACAAGTAGCATTCAGCTGACGAGTTATATCAATTGGCATCGGGGATGAGATTTTGGAAAAAATCGACAAGACATATCAGTGGCGACGGGGATTTTGGAAAAAATCGACAAAACATATCAACGGGAAAATATAAATCCTTATTGATATCTTCATAGCTTTCGGACTATTTTCTGACTACATGGACTTAGTAACTCAGTGGATAACGTGTTGTTACGCATTCTAAATGGAATGTACTGAGTCCGAGCATCAATATGAACATCAATACTAGGATGCAGGTACATCCATCTGACTAGTTTCAAATAGGAAGAAGTGCTCATCCTTGACTTCACTTCAAACCACATACCAAGTATCCTAAGATTTTGGTTGATTATTTATTTAGTTTCCGGATGTTAGTTTAGTTTGATGAAAGATTTCATCATTTACTTCTGTCATTTAGAGGACCATTAAAAACCAAAGTATCGGATAATTGTTCCATTCAATTATTTGATACTCGTTATAGATAAAAAAAAAAATCAAAATCCTGATAAAAATCGTTTTTTAAACTTTCAAATTTAGGTATGAATTAGAATCAAGTGGTCTTATTTCCCAAATTTAGTCCGTTCATAATATAGCACGATCTTACACTTAGTTTCATCATTAATATCTATCTATATTCCTAAATGATTAAACTTCACTATTCATGAATTTCCATATGGAAATCAGTTATTTCTGAACATACAATCAACAAGGACTACCTATTTACGTTTCAAATGACCATAGACTGGTTAAATTTTGGAAGTTTTCTCGATTTATTTACATTTTAGTAATTTTGTTTTATTTGTAAAATGTGTAAATGCACATAACAATCTAAAACGTTCCATGAAACCTTTTATGCAATAATGTTTTTTTTTCATATTTATGAAATGGTCCCTTTTTAATGAGTTATTCTAAAAGTATTCCAATCATTTCATTAATTTTTTTTCCTATTTGTTTATTCTAGTATTAACTCACATGAATTACGTCGATCACGTTTAGCTCGTTTGCCTTTTCATCTTGGATCATCGAAAAATCTCACTTTAGGTATTTCAGTATATTGTTTAGTTCATCCAACACGTATCCCCTCTCCAATATGGCTTTCATCTTCAGATAATAAAACTGTACGTGTTCATAGAGATTATTATAAAATTATAGATCCATATGGATCTTTTGATCCAGTTAAAGATTTATTGTCATCCCATGATTTAGTACGTGGAATAAAACTTGATGGTCGTTATATATGCTTTGATAAAGATGAATTAACTGAAGCTGTGCGTAATATTGCTCCTGTTGGTATGTATTGCTTCATACAGTTTATTATTATTGTTTTAATTTGTATGCAATTGTGTATCAACATAGTACTGTAGTGTGTGCTACTGATGTCGATAGATATAAGTAGTATGTATCATTAATAGAAATGAAATACCTGGAGACAGAAGGTTAAGAAGATCAAAGAAAAGAGAACGAGAACAGAGAATGACTGTTTTGGGAATGAAGGAACAATGAAGTTTGAGACCATTGACTAACATTTTGCAAATGGAGTATTTACAGTATGGTTCTCAGATTTTACTAGAATGTTCTGTAATTTTGTGCTCAAATACATTCGATTGTCCCCACTTGTATTCTCGTTCACTACAGTATTCATCTTATTGTCTATACTCTTATAAATCTGATAATTTAGTTTGGAGATATTAATGTTTTTGAAAGTATATTTTTTAGAGTTTGTTTTAATTCGTAGGTTGTATTCGTCGTGAGTTGGTATTAATTTAGGTAATATTCAAAGCCTTGAAGCACTAAGAGTTCTGAGTTTGGTCCCCGCTTGCAGGGTCGTGGATGTGCACTGCTAAGTCACATACTGAGATGAAGCAGCCGTCCACTGCTTCCAGGTTTTCAATGGTGGATTAAGTTAGATCGGTTCATGATTTCAATGAAACTCAACTGTCTTCGCAACCATATACTCATAAACTATGATAGTTAGCTCGTAATAATAACTTTATGATGTTTTTCATGTTATCGTGTGCATCTGTGACTGGTGGGGTCCAGACATATTGGGCATGAAATAGTTGTCACCAATGGCATTGGATAACCGACACGTTATTTCGTAGTTTTTTTGAGGTTAGAAATGTGTACGATTGGGCACCTACTCAGTAGTCCTACTGTTTGAGTGTTCGTTCAAAGATCTGACAGTCCTGGGTTCGATTTCTAATTGGATTGTGTGTGTACATTGTTGAGAAACCTCATAGTAGAACGAAATAGCTGTCCAATGCTCTCTGGATTCCAGTGATGCGCCTAATGGGATCAATGTGTCATAAATTTAACTTACAAGTATAGTTTTTATTAGCTTCAGTTTTCTTTTATACACTTCATATTTTCCAGATATTAAGAACAGACACTGACTCATGTTTGTTGTATTTGTTTACTATTAATATGACCAATGAAAATTTTGTTATCAATCTTTCTTTCTCAATTACATTAATTATTTTTGGTCATTCAGATTATTTGATTGTCATTGTCCAATGCTTTTAGTTATATTCAACCACACCACATACATATCAGTGGTCAATTTTTTTTCTATTTGATTGGGGTTTATTGAATTTACCTAATTTTCTATGCCAGAATTGTAAAAATAAGAATGATAACTTTATGCAGATTGTTCATTTTGAAGACAGTTTACATCATTAACAGATTTTAACTTTGGACAACTGTTGTAAATCAAAAACTACTTGATGTTAGCAACTGTGAGGGATTCATCGAACGTGCACACTTGAAGCCTAAAAACTTGTCGGACTTAGAACTTTCGGATATGAGGGGCAACGCATTACCTTTAGACTTAAGTGTTGGGTGTAAATTATTTTCAGCTTAAATAATTTACATAAGCTTCCAATACTAATAGTGGTGATAATATGTTTGTGTTAGTGATTAACTACTGGAATAATTCCCTAATTTGTAGTATGGATTTAAGGTCTTTGGAATTCAACTATGTTGGTTGTAAAACATATCACCGATGTTATTGAATGATCGTTGTGCTATATCATAAATTTGCTGAAATTGAAAATATAAACTGTCGGTTGCCAATACAGTCGTCTAAATGGTAATGGGCTTGTTGCGAAGCTTAGAAATCCTGATTCCGATATTTTTTTAGACCTTATGTGTGTGTGCACCAATGAGGAGGAGTCTTATACTATAGCGAAACTGTTATCCGATGCTCCTTGTTTTATAATAGTTTATCTCATCTAGATCATTATGTATTGTTTATTAGCTTCAAGATCATCTGGTTAGTTCCGGTCAGCTATTTTAGCATATTGAAAAACCAAATTATTGCATTCGCTGATTAATGATCATAATTTTATTTTTTTGAAAATGTTATTTCGTTTGACCTTATTGTTAACCTCACTGCAATTACATTTTGGATGTTGTTTTGGATCACTAATGCTTTTGCTTTACACGTAATCATTGTAATAATTTGGAAATTGTCTTTAAATCCTATTTCCATTTATTAGTTAGTAATGCAATCATATTAGTAGGATTACTTCTCACTTCAAACACTTAATTACACTCATGGGGTGTATATTTTATATAATTCTGGTTTACGAATCAAAGAATAACATTAGTGATATTCACTGTACATTTAAGTGTTTACATTGTGATTCATAGTTTAATAAAAGGAGTTAAGTAGAGCGGTGTATTGTGACGGGCGGTGTCTGAAATTGAGTACTGGTACACGATGTGCTACGCGCTTAGCCAATGTAATGCACTTGTCCTTCAAGTCACCACTGATTGCCATCGACTGACCTTCTCATTGGCTTGACATATCACCTTTCCTTCCTGAAAAACAAGTCTTGCTCTTTGGATTCAACTGAGAGCGTTGAGGAAAATATCGTTTTATTGATGATCTTCTTGGGGTCTGGCTATCACTTTTTCTGCACTGATTTTGTCGCCCCAGACTGACTGTATCAATTAAGTAATGTAGTTGCAAGTTCGAGTTAGTATGTTCTTTATCCAGATTTAGTCTATTGCGGATTTGACTTACCATATCATGATGAATCGGTGGTGTTTAAGGTTTCTGACTTCAATCACTAAGTTACCAGTTCAAATCTCTCTCCACCTATTTCAGTTTGGCCTACCAAACAGCTTCATTAGCTTTCACACTCAGAGTGCGGCTCACACCGATTTACACAAATTCGTGCCGTGTGAGTTATTATTAATGTAAAAAAGGATTATACATGTAAATTTTTTTAAATATAATAATTTCATTGTAAAAATTACGATAAACTTCGTATTTCATATCATAGAGTTGAATAAAGTTTCAGTTTTTGTACAAATCTAGTTGTTAGGTATCAAATGTTTCTTTCATGACTCCTCACTTCTTATCTTCTAAATTTTCTAATTTACTAGGGAGTCAATCTTTTTTTTTTTTGAACTCACTTACCAGAATACTTTCTTAAATCCCCTCTTTTTCAATTGACATTTTCATTGTTCTGATAGGAATGTTCCATTAACATGAATTACTCTTCTTAGGAACATCTATTCATATTTAATAGTGGGTATATATGACACAAAACAACAACAACAAAGATTATTCATTTTGTTTTTATTCAATTGTCAGTTTATTCTTATTATTCACAAATAAATATGTGTGTATGGAGTAGAAATGGAATATGATTTAAACAACTTATATTTATATTTTAATCCAATTAAATTCTATCATATATAGATTATAACTTTATAACAACTGAACTATATTTTTGATAGTCATTATTGAACTTTAAAAATAGTCTTTGACAAGGATAAAGTAAAATATTGAAAATGTTTATAAGAAGTATTATTATTATTTAACTGACAGATATGATTAAGTTTCAATGTTCTAATTTATGTAACCGGAAAACGCTCATTGAGACGTAAAACAAGAAAGTATGTGTGTATGAGAGATATAAAGGGGTTCAAGGAAAAGTTTTTTTTTTTTTTGTTTTTTTTTTAAGTAATTTATTTTCGACTGTTTCATTCTGTTTATGCTACGCCTATTAATGACTTGTAGGATATGGTAACAAGAATTCAAAGATACATAGATGTACAAATGTGTATTACTTTTAGTCGTAGATTAGAAATGGAATTGTCAAGATGTTGGAAAATTAATCAGGAATAACTTAGATTCATTTATTTACATAAACACATAAATATTAGTATCGAGGGGCATCAAAATATATATGCACTACATAGACTATTGAATCTGTCTATGGGTTGAGATGCTGTCAAGGTACCCAAACCAATGTAGGTGGTTTGATTTGTAGACCACTCGTCGAATCTTTGACCCAGAGGTCTAATCCACAAGACAGTGGAGCACCGTTAGGAGATACGGCCTCATGGTAGCCGGTCACCAATGATAGGTCCGTACGCCATTTGTCCACTTAAGATTCTGGAACTCACGTGCACCATTGGTTTGGAGTTACGGTTTCCTAATTTCCCCAGGTGGATTCTTCATATCCACCAACCCGGTTAAAGCCGAATTCTGTAAGCATACGAAAAGTCTTGTGGGGTTCTTTAGAAAATTTCAAAAGTTAATTTGAAATCGACATAGTCGATCATGAGTAGTGATATTCGGAAATCCGATAATATATTTGTCTAGTTGTTTGGCCAATATAGCTAGTTCCGCAACAGTAGTTGCACATAGAGACAGGGTAACTAGGCAATTTATCTTTATTTTGTGAGCTCACTATTCGCCGGTTGAAGAAAAATGGGGATAATCTTGCTGCATTAAATGTGTTTTTTACGTTTTTTCTCATATATCAAATTACTATTTTGCTGTCATTATCACCTATGAAATGCAATTTTGTGAATAAAGCCTTTTTTGGTGCCATCAGTAATTTTAATTCAAATTTAGTTTTAGACTTCAGAAGTTTTGGCAGGTATCCGTATTCACTTATCAAATCACAAATAAGTCGTGATTCCTCTTCAAAAGTGTCGTTAGAACAGATAATTTTGACTCTGTGGGTCAAGCTATTGACTAAGTTTCTTTAATTAGACCAATGACCTCTTTGACCAATAACAACCGACCACACACAACGACTGAATACCCTGATTTTTTTTGACGAAACGCAATTCCTTTTTATGTCATATGACTAGTCAGAAGACTAAGACAACAAGTTTATATGCTTACCATTAATATGACTTTGAAAACCCATAGGATTGTGTACACCCACTACAAATAAAAAAAACAAATTTTTTTTACATAACTTGGAGTCATATATGATACAAAAACTGGACAGTGTGTGCATAATTAATTAACTATAAGACATGTATCAACAGTTAATACGTTAATTAAGAGCTTATAATTAAACCAATATATTCATCCCATATACCAGTTACTTAATAATTACATAATACAAAGTAGAGATATTAGTTTCCATCCTAAAAGTTATAGGTTCCGTGCTAGTTGGCACCCATCAGCAATCTGCACTTGTAATCTTAAAGAGAAATGGTGACCATTATCAGATTAGAACTCGAGTCATTCAGTTTCACAATCCAGTTGCCTAAAGTAAAATTGATGAAACCTGATTTCAATCAAATAACTCAGTGGTTATAAAAGTCTAATGTCTTTTTTAACTGTCAAACCATTATTCTAGCAAAATAGGTTCCAACTATAAATAATTTTCTTTCTATTCATCTCATATTTTCATTTCTTTTAGGCTTACACCTATTAGGTTTTATATCACAGAAATTTTTAAAACGATATTATTACATTCGTCCAGCACATTTTATTTATCCTGATGAAAAATCTGTTCATGGGAGTCGTTTATGGTTTACCGCTTTATTAAATCGATGTTTACATCGAAAGTTATTAGCTATAGCTATATATGTTCAACGTAAAGGTCAATTTCCTCGTCTGGTTGCGCTACTTCCTCAGGTATTCCATTCTGTTTTATTTTTTGATTTATACTGTTGTTTATCTTATTGTTTCAAAGAAATGTAAAGTTTATTGTATACCTATATCACATGGTAAGGTAGGAGACTGTGGTGACTGTTGTCATAATGAACTGGTTTCAACTAAAGAGATATCGAGAACTGAAAAGTAATAGTCAGTTATTTTTTCTGCTTTTTTGAATTCCCCAGACGTATAAACTCAACACTTCACATGATAATCAATATGACGCATTAAGAACGTTACTTGGTCTTCGCTTTCACCCACTGTTTGTTAAGCTATATGAAATCAGAACCCAAAAGCGAAGCATTAGAAGGATTTACGAGGTCGCATACATTAGTAGCTACTCGGGACTCGATTGTGTTGTCAGCCTATTTTCTATCATTTATAATGAGTTCTATCTAATGTTAGGTCTTTTTTATCGTAAAAACAAAATAGCTTGTATTCTTAATTCAAAGAAACGACTTAAATTGTCAGCTTTTTGTTTCAATATTGAAATTTAGATGTAGCAATTTAATTTTCGCTTGTGATTAACTGTTCTATGCTCAATGTGATGCGTGTCTAATCCTTTAGTACCGCTCGAATTCTAATAACCAAGAAGTTACAAGATCTAAATGATTTGGCATCGCAGTCAAACAGATTAAAATCATGAATGCGCCAAAGATAACACAGGTTGGCATAAGCCTATCTTGCTTTCACTATACGTAAATTCATCTCATCACTCACACTACCTCCATGAGCTACACAACTACCTACATATACGAACTTCTTGACTACTTTTACCTACTCATTACCAAGGGTCAGTACAGACACACGGTCCTATCAGTCTTGTAAAAGTACTTTGCACATAGAAGGTACAAAGCACATGCAATACCTACGGATACTTCATATGAAAATCCTAATTAATTTACATGAACCGAAGAACTACTTATCATTTTGAAAACATTATGTGTTAAGTTTAGCGATACTGACGAAACTTTTAAACTAAAGTCACCAGTAGTACGTAAGGTTCGAGCTTGGGACCTTGTTCTTAAAAATCAAATGATCTAAGTATTAATCTAATATAGGGCTACACTTAATTGATACTAACATGCGTATATTATTCCCCTTTCCAATCAGTTTTAGTGATTATGTGAAAAAATATATTTACCAAACGTCTTTTCATAAAATATATGTGATTATTTGGGTTTTGGACTCATTAAAACTATATTAGTTATCTATTTATTTATTTAAATACATAAACATTGGTACAAGAGACCCCAAATATCTACTTCCATTTTTTAAATTATCAATCAATTGTAGAACTATGAACTATCGTATCTCGTTTAAGTGATATTATGGTGTGAAGTTTCAAGTTTCTAGTTTCGTTCTCACTTGAGAGAAGGAGCATTGTCATTAGACACTGTTAATGAATTCTTAAACAACTATGATATGATGGAAAGAAAAGTCGAAAGTCGATTGATTTACTCATTATGAGTTTTATTCAACATTCTGTTTTGATTCAATGTAATGATTACTCAATGTAGTATTTATTTACTTTTCTCGTATGATATTTTATTCTGTATAATATACAGTATTCTTGTATTCAATTGACATGAACTATGCTCTATATGTGATTTATTATATATGTGATTTCATCCTACTTATCAATCAAAATGGGTGTACAATCAATATATAAATTAGTGTATTTTTGACTAGAGCCGTCATCATCATAGTGTTTTGGGGTTAATAAATCTTCACTTATACCAGTCTTTGTGTTCCGAGTTTAAGTCGATAAGAGTTTCCGACATAACAATCAGTGACAACCAGATATAACAAGAAGCATTCAATTGACAAGTTGTAACAAACTATTGAGTCCTTTTTGGCTGTCACTTTTCCTCCAGGTTATATCGGGCCATGATAAATTTAATACATAATATTCAGCTGACATACTAAATGATTCCTGTCTACTCTATTTATCTAGGCAGAACAGATAAATGATGATGATGATTATGACGGTGCTAATAAAACTCAAACAATACCACCCGGATTTCATATTATATTTTTACCTTACGCTGATGATTTTCGTGATATTGAAATTCCAACGAATGAAATAGGTACGATTATTATCATTATTATTTCTTTTAATTATATAATTTTAAATTCGATTCATTTTACATAACTGATTAATTAATGATAAATAGTGCAATTCACTAAGTTAATTTCAGACTTATGTACTAGTTATAGGAAAAGGACTTTCAACCGGTACGTCTTAGGTCTAGACCCTTCTCTGCTGACACAGATTTTGTAGTAACGATATTTTGAATGTCTGTTTTATTTAATTATATTCATTAGTCTATAAAGATCATGTTGATGGGCTCAGACTATATGTTTGGTGTTCGGGTAATAAAGTAGTTGAAGATATTGGGTGACGGGATCAGTTAATATAGTGCAGACGGATCTACTCGTCGTCTTCCTCTAGATCTTGGGTATGAAAATCATCTTATACTTTCTATCCTTCAAATTCACTTATTCTTCTTCAATCACAATTTCATATCCAATGTTGTCTATTACGACTGATAGTCTTGATAGTTTTACTACCCTGGGATTTCTCCTTAATAATTTTATTTATTTTTCTTAATCTGCTGTGGCAAGGTGAACCAATGCATATGTGTGCCAGGCTATACGTTGATTATAATTGAATAATTTATTATGTGCAATATTGATGTAAGCAGTTTATTAATTCATGTTTATTCGTAGTAAACGTCATGCTCATTGTATTTTTTAAATTTTTGTTTAGCTAACGAATCTCAAGTGGATATTACTAAGGCCATGATACGCAAACTTATGGTACCATTTACTCCTGGACAAATTGAAAATCCAACATTACAACGGTTTTATTCACTTCTTGAAGCATTAGCTCTTAATCGGGAAACTCAATCGGAAGTTGTTGATCATACATGTAGGTTACTGAAAGTTTTCGTAGTTTTACATTGTTAAACACTAACAGCTGTTAAAAACTACACAAGTTTGACATTGCTCACTACTCAGTGGTCAATCAACTGTAAATATTGCGACCTGCCGAGCCATCTACATACGATGTCTCATAAGCAGCCTCACGTCCCACCGCTCTTCTCCGTCAACAGCGATTACTACAGCCAACACCGCCCCGTCAGTACACTCTACTCGACGTCTCTAAGCGCCGGACGGCCCCAATTAGCGCTTTCTCTCACGGCTCCGAAATAGCGTCCGCTGCCCCTCTTTGGAAGCGAAACCAAATGTTAAACAACTATTAAAAACCTGGGAGTATTGGAAATTTGTGTCGTCTTGATATGGGCTTCCACAGCAGTACAGATACACGATCCTATCACCAGCGATTAAACCTAGGACTTCTGATCTCATGCGAATTCCCAACTTCTAGATCAGTGAATTGGGTTCTAAAGGTTTGGATATATCAACCTCATTAGCTTCATTGAAATCATGAACCGACCATTATTATGACATCATTGAAATCCTGAATAATATGGACTCAACAGACTCATACTGTTAATTCCCCACAATCCATAGTATCAAACAATCATTTTCCAATATACTTGATGGGTAACTGGCCCACACTCAACATGGTGATTCTCATTAAAATTTAAAAACATTACTTCTCAAAATTAGTCACTGGTTAGACCATAATTATTTACTAGAGGGGAGTGTACTTATATTACAAATTTATGGAACTAGATACTGCTTCAGTTGTTTGGAGGTTAAGACAAGAGGTCCTGGATTTAATCCCTGTTGTCGCGGTTGTAGATCTAAATTACTAAGGAGTCTTATGGAAGAACAAAACAGCTGTTCAATACTCTCAGTTTTTAAATCGATTAGTCCGTTTTACAAATTTCGATAGAACAATGAGAAAGAGTGAAAAATGTGATGTATTTCTACCAGACATCCCGAACAATTTGGTAATGTACATACTTAGTTTTCAATAGTTGTTTAACCAATATCATTCTGTGATGTTAACTATGAAAAACAGCAAAAATCCGATAAACCACTTTATTCTACTTTTACTCGTTTTTTCCTGTTTTTTTTCCAACCAGTTTTAACATTTTGATGTTATTTCTTCCCTATTTTTTGTTGGTGATAAAATCATTAAAATTCGATTTTCTGTTTGTTTGAAAAAAATCATCATTTTAGTACCTAAACTCGGAGCTATCAAAAGAAGAGCCAGTGAAGAAATTGCAGCTTTCAAAGAATGTTTCAATTTAAATAACGAGAGTATATTCAAAGTGAGTAAAGAAAAGTGTAAAGAGATATCTATATTTGGCATTCAGTAGTAATGCATTTGTGAGTCAATAAGAATTAAAATCGATCAGAGTTGGAAATATATATCAATTAAATATTAATTAGTTCAGTGATTTTAAGGATCAAGCGTTCTCTGCGAAACCTGAATGTTGTGGATTCGGTTTATGTATGGAGTCGTGGATTCGTTACTGGTGATAAGTGTTCCATACTAGGACGAAACAACTTTCCAGTACTCTCTGTTTTTCAATGGTGCTTTAAATGAAATCGATTCATGAAGATTATCACATTCAAAATATTAAGCGCTTAATTTACCTTTAGTTTCATTAATTTTGAAACACTGAATTAGTATTAGATCATCAATATACAAACTAGCTATCATTCAAATTCAATTCTAGTTACATAAGACTCATTATAAGTTGTTAATTTGTTATTATAAACGTGTAACCGATTTGTTCTTTCATTTAAAATACCAAGTCAGTTAGGTGAATTCATAAGATCTTTATTGTTGATCTATTAACAAACATTAGTTTGTGAAGAAGATCAAATTCATTCTTGAATATTAGTTACTGTTAGGATAGTATAAATTTGTTGGAAACTAAGGAATATTATTTAGCTGTTTTGTTGTAGTGTGGAACTCCATAACAGTGTTCACTTAAGACTCTCCAGTGCTTAAATGCAAAAGTTCCAGGCCTAACGGGGAATACATAACTATTGGAATTGCTGGTTTGGCATTTAATGGTATAATTTCAACTGTAATCATTTTGCGGTAATTCACAATATACAGTGTTTGCAAATGGGTTAATTGACCAAAACTATCGAATTAAGTATTTATTATAGTAATTATGTTTCTGTGAAAGATATTAATGGTATATCAATTGTTTAATGCATAACACCGTTTATGTACAGCGCAATAAAAGTATTTTTAATTTATATCTGAACTATTTAGATTTCTTTACAGGGTACTAGTTGGTAACCAGTTTTGATATTACGTTATACTTTATTTGATGACTTTATATGATTTAAGGCCATCACTATTAGGATGCATGTATTGCTTAGAATGTATGCAAGGTTTATTTGTATTATTGATAGGAATGTTGTCGTTTTCGCGCTTCAAACCACCATTTTTATATGTATCGTGTAGAAGTGATCTAATAATAGTCTACTAACATTCTCAATCACATCTTTAAACCCGTCTCCGTTTACTTAGTTATGGGAAACTGTTGGGGCAATATCTCTTATTCTTACATAGTAAATTTAAGTGAAAGCCGATTGTTTCTATATGAACTTATTAAGTTGTACTAACTTACTTGTTACTAATATCATTCATCTTATTTATTTTTCTTTCCCCTACAAACATAGAAACCTCGTCCTGCACAATCCACATGCAATGAAGAAGCAAAATGTTGTTTATCTGAGATAGAATGTAAAGAAGCCGTTCAATCAGGTAATCTACACAAATATACATTACCTGTATTACGTGAAACAATCAAATCACTTGGTCTCAAAATTTCAGCCAGTAAAAAATCAGATATTATTCAAAAAATCATGAACCATTTTTCAGAAAACTAAATATTTTTTATTGTCAGTTTGTCAGCCCTTTCTTTTGTTTCCCCCTTGCTTTCTCTGAAGTGAGCACACTAGAAGACAAGTGAAGAATATCAGTAATGTAACTGTATAGACAATAATATTTAAGTGTTTCAAAGTGAATTGTTTTTTTTTTCAAATAACCTTATTATTGTTTATTTGATAACCTTTGTCCATGACATTATTTATATTTTTTTTATTATTTTGATAATGTCGAAATAAACAAACAAATTCCAATATTGAACATTCTCTAAATAAACATTGATCATTGGACATAGTTTGTTATTTTTATTGTTTCATAATTTGAAAAACTGACCTAGAACAGTAATTCAATTTTACTAAGACCAATGGTTTGATAGGATTAAAAAAATTGTCTTGTGATTTTCTATAGGAGATTAATGTGTTTTAATATTTTTTTCTTTTGTTTTGCATCAAGCTAGTCACGCACAATTCACGTATTGAACATTTCGATTTTTATGATAAATAGAATTGTGAAAAGACTTAGTTCCATTGAATTATTTACTATGTTTACTTACAGTTTAATCGATAAGTATTCAATTAGAGTTTAACTTGGTTGAATAAGTTTTTGAAAAGAGCAAGAACAAACATTGGTCATTTGAATAGGTTTCTTATCTACTTCCTGTAACTATCTGGTATCATATCATAGTGAAGATATTGAAATATTTAGACTATTGGTCACATTCTGAAATGATCAATTGAACTTAGTCAACTCTAAAAAAAATATGACATTAGTCACTATTCAGTAACCAGTTAGTTATGAAAAAATAATTTCATTTCTAATTCTACATTTTTCTTGGCTTATCTTGGTGTTAATGATTGGGTTACACAGTTTGTTTATTTCTCATATACAGATATATTTTACGAACAGTCAATACTTGACAGTTTTACAAAGTCTGTTACTAATTGTGGACGTTTGTACTTATCTATGATTGTGATATTTAGAACTACGTAACTTGATTGATCAATTTCTGTTGACTTATATGTATTCTTAAAGTGATACCTCAATATTGACAATACCTACGGATCGATTTTACTTTGAATAGTGTCTATCGGTGGGACTGATTATAAATGGTGAACAGGACAACCTGAACTGAGATTTTGTTCTAATTGCAATTTTTCAGCTAGACGTATCTACAATATTCGGGTAACTAATATTTCTTGTGGGATTTAAATCACCTATTGAAGTGTTTAAGTCGCGATAACCATCTCCTGTAGTAGTTCAATCCGTTTTTTTTTTTAAGAATAAAGATTAAATCAATATGACATTAGTTAATATGCAATGAGTAGTCAATTAGTGTAAATTTATAACTTCTAAAATAAAATTTTTAACTTGATGTTCACAGAACAAGGAAGATGGTATTTCTCTTTTTTTCTTTTCTTTTCAAGATTGTCCAGTATTTTTTTAAAAAATACTTTTCATTGTAACCATGGTTGTATGCATACTAATTAGGTTACGACTAGTTACTATAGGCTTTTTGTCAGTATTCTATGTGGCTTATTATAACATTTAGAAAAAAAAAAGATTATTCAATTAAATCTTAGTAAAATTAACAACGTAATACCAATGAATCATTTACTATTTAAGTAACTTAGTGATTATTTAAAATGTATGGGTTAGTAATAGAAAAACATTTAATAATTGGAAATTAATTATTCATTCTTTTAAAGATATACTGTTTAAAATCGGCAACATTGATTAAATATTCAGTTAGCTTATTCATTACAATCATATTTAACGAAATTAATGGATAGTGATATAATTTGATCGATGGTTTAGTAGTGGTTTAAGTGTTCAGATTTCAGTTATTAAGTCACCAGTTTGAATTCCATTGTATTTGATTCGGTTTGAACAACTGAATAGTATTATCTAATCTTGTTATTTGATAGCATTATACTGATTTATACGCATAACATTAAAGACGACACTGTTGCTTAATTAAAGTGAATCTGATACAACTAGTTTTGATTGTATAATTTTAAAATATCGAATGTTTGAATCGGTAGACTCTCACTCTATACTTTTATTCTGAATTTAGTTTTATTTCGGATTTTGCTTCAAACTTAAACAAATTGATAATGTAGAATATTTTATTTATTCTATCAAAATAATTTTGTTCTTTGTTAACCAAAAGACGATTGGATCAGTGATATATCTATTTATCATGTGATCACTAGTGACTAGTTTCGAAAGTTCCCGGAGTTCTACTACGAAGCCATGACATTGAAGCTAATCCGTGTCGGACATGAGACATTTACTCATTGAAGACCAAGGAAGATAGTTGCGGAATGTCGTGAATTGATCGAATATTTTTATTTATTTTAACGTCCTTCTGAAGTCTCAAATATATTTTCATACTACAAATAAAATCAGTTCATTGAATTGATTATTTATTCGTTTATCATTTACCATTACATGATATTTACAAATCATTTAACTTATTGGATGAAACGCGCTTCCTGGATTCCAGTGCTGCACACTAATCATCTTTGCTTATCAAGCTTGTGACTTAAGGCAATATCGAGACAATCCGCACATATGCCAACAAGAGACTGATCAATTGCAGTCCTAAGCATCAATAGGAAGATTCAAATGATAATTGCCGAGTGAATTTAAATTTTACTCCATTGCACAAGCAAGTGGCTACCAGGACGCAGTAGTTAAGTGGATAATACGATTGCATTTGAAGCGAACATCACTAGGTTCGATTCCCACAGTGAACATTTAATCTAGGATACAGGTACACCCAGCTGACGAATCCCAAATACAACGAGACGTACGTCCTAAATTTCACTGCTAGTCATCGATACTGAGAATCATTTGTCAACATTTTACTGAACACATGCTTCTTATTACTTCTGGTTATATTCATTTCTCTTGAATATATAATAATAATACTGTAACACAATTTACTTTGTTTTAAAAATATTTATTTTATAGTTGAATTCGTGGGTCAATTGAAGCTAGACCACCATAGAGAAACTAAAAGTAGTAGATGGCTGTTTCGTCCTAGTATGGAACTGTTCAGCAGTGCGTATCCACGATGTACAGAAAATCGGGGATACTTAAAGTATTTCGAATGGCTTTAAACTTCTGAAGTATGTGAAATCATACCAAATATATCAGCTGGCTAGGTAATCATTCAATCAGAAATGTCATACGTGACCCTTAACTTTCTGAGATACATTTATTCAACGCTTATTGAATAAAATGTTTCCCAGCATTTTTCAACTTCCACTTGATTGATCACTGGGTGGTGATCAATGTTATGTATGTCAAGTCCTTATTAGTGCAGATTGAATTCTATTGATCAAGCTGTAATGTGGCCAACAGTCTAGGTAACTCGACGCTGCGTGCACTATGTTGAGATTAAATGGTGGTTGGAGGTAGTCGACAGGAAACCCTGGACCCGGGTTTCGTGCTACTTGGCACTTGTCAGCAATGTGTGCCTGTAATCTCGAGTGAACTGGTGCTCCCTGACGGATCCAATCCCGTGTCATCCAGCTTCACAGACAAAGACGTTACCACTGAGCTATCTGGGCCGCGACCGACCTCCTGTAAGATTGAGATGTAATCACAATTGATTGATCACTGGGTGGTGATCAATGTCATGTGTGTCAAGTCCTTGATCGTTAGCATTCGATCTGCACTACATATAAACGTACAATTGTGAAACATTCCATCGATTTGTATAAATCAGTACATATGTGGATAACACGAAATGAATTGAATTGAAATAACAAAAGAGACCTATTATATAATTGAAGAAGAAAAAAAGGACGGCAATTCAATGCGGAAAATTTCTTTTTAATGATTTCATTTATTTATACCATATAATCGTATTTATAGTTTAATTTACTAAAATAATAATCTATCATAAAATAGAATGGTGTTGAATAATTAACAAAACGTGAAATGGTTCTTTGTCATGAATTGTTTACGTAAATCAGATATTAAAAGGAACTTATGTTGTACAAAGTGGTAAGGTGGAGATCATTGTCCATTTTTTTTAATAGCTATTAAGAATCAAGTAATTAAAAATTGTAATGATGGTTAATTAGTAGTTTTAAAAATAACTGAAAAACAGTAAAAATAATTTTTATTTTATAAAATGGCATAGATTATGGAAGATAGAAAGGAGGGCTAAGATCATGGGAAAATAGGGGAATGAAAGTTCTGTTTTTGTACCTAAAAGTTTTTCATTTGTTATCCCTTTTGCGTCAGCTCTTCTGACTGAATATATAATTTTAAAGAAGACTTCTGTCGAAGTTGAATGGTCAGAATTAACTGTTGAGCTTTTAATTGACTTCTGCAATGCTTTAGAAAGCCAGGTAGTATAATGTTCATAGATGTGTTTTGAATGATCTCACTTTGTTCAGCCAATATAATCTGCTCCATATGAGCAAGTAAACTGATAGATGCACTGGGATTGAACCCAAATCAATGGTGCACATGGGCTCCAGTATTCTACGGGAACAAATGGCGTATGAACCAATTTCTTGGTCACCGGCTACAATGGGACTGCATCTCCTCATGATGCTCCACTGCCTTGTGGGTTAGACCTTTAGGTCGAAGGCTCGGGATGTGGCCCCCTAAGAAAACCACCTACTTCGGTTTGGGCACCCGGGCAGTATCACATCCCACACACAAATATAATGGTTTTGTGTGGCGCATATATATTTGGTGCCCCCTGTACCTATATTTATGTGTTCAAATAAATAAATAAATAGATTGAACTCAACACAACTACATATCGTAGGCCGACTAGGAAAGATAATACTAAGTTCAACCGAATAGATTGTTTTTATCAGAGATCCGGAAAGTCTGTTTTTCAATATTTCCGGTAGGGCATCTCCTTTAAAGTGATTGCTCACGAATAGTCTCTTTAGTACTATGGATACCATTACATATATTATTAGTGGTTGCTCTGGTAATCAGAAGGGGTATTTGCCTCGTGACTTTCGAA